ATGATTGGTTTCAGGTATTCATGGTATCTAATACAACTTTACAACTGCTACTATTGTTATTATTGTTATTATTGTTATTGTTATTATTGTTATTATTGTTATTGTTTTATTATTATTATTATTAGACAGATGGGTGACAATGGACCTTTTTCACAGCAGCCATTTTAACCTGTACCAGTAAACTCAACTGTTACCATTGACACTAATGAAGGTTACATTCAGATCATCCACATATAAAGAAATCTCTACAACCCTGAACACAACAGGACCCTGAACACAACACGCCCTGAATACAACCGGACCCTGAACACAACAGGACCCTGAACACCACACGATCCTGAACACAACAGGACCCTGAACACAACACGCCCTGAATACAACCCGACCCTGAACACAACCCGACCCTGAACACAACAGGACCCTGAACACAACACAACCTTGAACACAACATGACCCTGAACACAACACGATCCTGAACACAACACGACCCTGATCGCAACACGACCCTGAACACAACACGCCCTGAATACAACCCGACCCTGAACACAACCCGACCTTGAACACAACAGGACCCTGAACACAACACGCCCTGAATACAACCGGACCCTGAACACAACATGACCCTGAACACAACACAACCTTGAACACAACACGCCCTGAATACAACCGACCCTGAACACAACCCGACCCTGAACACAACACGACCTTGAACACAACAGGACCCTGAACACAACACAACCTTGAACACAACAGGACCCTGAACACAACACGCCCTGAATACAACCGGGCCCTGAACACAACATGACCCTGAACACAACATGACCCTGAACACAACACGCCCTGAACACAACACGCCCTGAATACAACCCAACCCTGAACACAACCCGACCCTGAACACAACCCGACCCTGAACACAACATGACCCTAGACACAACACGACCATGAACACAACAGGACCCTGAACACAACACAACCTTGAACACAACAGGACCCTGAACACAACACGCCCTGAATACAACCGGACCCTGAACACAACATGACCCTGAACACAACATGACCCTGAACACAACACGACCCTGAACACAACACGACCCTGAAAACAACACGCCCTGAATACAACCCGACCCTGAACACAACCCGACACTGAACACAACCCGACCCTGAACACAACAGGACCCTGAACACAACACGCCCTGAATACAACATGACCCTGAACACAACACGATCCTGAACACAACACGATCCTGAACACAACACGACCCTGAACACAACACGCCCTGAATACAATCCGACCCTGAACACAACATGACCCTGAACACAACACGATCCTGAACACAACACGACCCTGAACACAACACGCCCTGAACACAACACGACCCTAGACACAACACGACCATGAACACAACACAACCCTGATTCTTTGGGGCTTTTATCCTGAGCGTTTTAGAAATACTGAGGTCTGAGGCTCTCTAACCGTATGCTGCTGCTCTCTAACCGTATGCTGCTGCTCTCTACCGTATGCTGCTGCTCTCTAACCGTATGCTGCTGCTCTCTAACCGTATGATGCTGCTCTCTACCGTATGCTGCTGCTCTCTAACCGTATGCTGCTGCTCTCTAACCGTATGCTGCTGCTCTCTACCGTATGCTGCTGCTCTCTAACCGTATGATACTGCTCTCTAACCGTATCTCTACCGTATGCTGCTGCTCTCTAACCGTATGCTGCTGCTCTCTACCGTATGCTGCTGCTCTCTAACCGTTATGCTGCTGCTCTCTAACCGTATGCTGCTGCTCTCTAACCGTATGCTGCTGCTCTCTAACCGTATGTGCTGCTCTCTAACCGTATGCTGCTTCTCTACCGTATGTGCTCTCTGACCGTATGCTGCTGCTCTCTAACGTATGCTGCTGCTCTCTAACGTATCTCTAACCGTATGATGCTGCTCTCTAACCGTATGATGCTGCTCTCTAACCGTATGCTGCTGCTCTCTACCGTATCTCTACCGTATGCTGCTGCTCTCTACCGTATCTCTAACCGTATGCTGCTGCTCTCTACCGTATGATGCTGCTCTCTACCGTATCTCTAACCGTATGCTGCTGCTCTCTACCGTATGATGCTGCTCTCTAACCGTATGCTGCTGCTCTCTAACCGTATGTTTCTCTAACCGTATGCTGCTGCTCTCTACCGTATGATGCTGCTCTCTAACCGTATGTGCTCTCTAACCGTATGATGCTGCTCTCTAACCGTATGCTGCTGCTCTCTAACCGTATGATGCTGTTTACGTATGTGCTGCTCTCTACCGTATCTCTAACCGTATGATGCTGCTCTCTAACCGTATATCTCTTCTAACCGTATGATGCTGCTCTCTAACCGTATGCTGCTGCTCTCTAACGATATGATGCTGCTCTCTAACCGTATGATGCTCTCTAACCGTATGATGCTGCTCTCTACCGTATCTCTAACCGTATGCTGCTGCTCTCTACCGTATCTCTAACCGTATGCTGCTGCTCTCTACCGTATGATGCTGCTCTCTACCGTATCTCTAACTGTATGCTGCTGCTCTCTACCGTATCTCTAACCGTATGCTGCTGCTCTCTACCGTATCTCTAACCGTATGCTGCTGCTCTCTAACCGTATGATGCTGCTCTCTACCGTATCTCTAACCGTATGCTGCTGCTCTCTACCGTATCTCTAACCGTATGCTGCTGCTCTCTACCGTATCTCTAACCGTATGCTGCTGCTCTCTACCGTATCTCTAACCGTATGCTGCTGCTCTCTACCGTATCTCTAACTGTATGCTGCTGCTCTCTACGTATCTAACCGTATGATGCTGCTCTCTACCGTATCTCTAACCGTATGCTGCTGCTCTCTAACCGACACATAGCAGATACAACACTGTTAAAGTCTTCCAGGACACGAGAGTATTTCCAGGATATTATAATGAAATATTGTAGTTCTATCCAACATCTTCTTCTTCTACATTGTTAATGTCACAATATTCGGATTCTTTCCCACTGATCAATAAATATGATGGTTTTATTTCAGGACAAAGCTCTAATTTATGTTTATTAATGCTTCCATGACCGGAAAAATCCTATTTCATCCTCATCCTCATCTTCATCCACCTGTTTAAGTGTTCATCCGGGAGAGACACCTGTCCACCCAACGTCACTCTACCTGTACTTCTTCACCTCTGTGACGTCATCACTATCACGGTTCAGACCTGAACCTGAACCGAGCCACACCCGGGACACACACTCTTCCTCCGGATGTCGGATGAACCAGAGCAACATCCCGCCGGGCCTCAGGGCTGCAGGCCGGACAGCAGCAGCCGCGGAGGAGAGCCTGTTACGGAGCCGGTAGCGGAGCCGGTAACGGAGCCGGTAACGGATGGTGACGACAGACAGGAGGGCCAACGGACAGATAGACAGACAGACAGACAGACAGACAGACAGGTCGGTCCCCTCCTCCACGCCCTTCTCCTCCTCCTCCTCCTCCTTACCTCCGCTCCAGATGCTGCCGCCGCTCCGCCGCTTCTCTCCGCCGATAAAAACCCGGACTGACGCGCTGTGAGGCGGCCAAAGCATGAGAGGCGTCCCGGAGCGGAGCCGGTACCGGTACCGGAGGGTTCAGACCGACAGGAAGCGGATGAGACGGACGGATTGACGGTCGCTCGGTGATGCTGCTGTTATGGCATCTCTGTCTCCTCCTGACGCACCAGCTGCCACCCGCTGCGTCAAGACGCAGCGCGGCACCGGAAGCGCTGCAGGGGAGACTTCACAATAAAAGCCCGAAGAGACTGGAGAAATTAAATATGAGATGAAATCATTGAAATGCATTTGTAATATTTCTTTCTCAGCCCTGTTTGTGTTTGTACTTCCTGCTGGATAAAAATGATTATTGATCAGATAAACAGATTGATCAGGAGTCAGAATATTAAACCACACACACACACACACACACACACACACACACACACACACACACACACACACACTTTAAGGTGTGTTTAGTCCAGCAGCTGTGGATATACACAGTATTCTGTCTGATCAGATCCACGTTAACACATAAAAACACCATCATAATAAACAACACTATATAAGTTCATAGACAGGTGCTTAGCAAACAGTATGCTGTGCTCTTATTGTGAAGGCCGGCTGGTTTCCGGGCTGAGTGCCGGGCAATTGACGGATTTTCAGCTGATCGACACACATCATCAATATTATTACCCATCTTACTATCAATATTATTATCAATATCAAATCACATGATTATTATTATTAACAATAATATTTGTATTGTTTTTATTTCCGGTGGAGTCACGTCATCTGACGGTCCGTCGCCGCGTGAGGGGACACTCCGGTTTGGGATGACGTCACCTCAGTGTTCATACATATATTATATATATATAAAATATTATACAGTAAATATATACTGTAATATATTAGGGACAAGCTGAGACTGTTTCTGGTTCTGGGACTGGAGTGGATCCCGCCACAATAAAAGAATACTAACTAATATTAATACTCACATTCCTCGAGGCACAGGCCGAGGAGGTGGAGTAGCAGCCATATATGATTCGAGCGTTTTAATGGACCCTAAACCTAAACTAAATTATAATTCATTTGAAAGCCTTGTTCTTAGTCTTTCTCACCCAAACTGGAAAACACTGCAGCCAGTTCTATTTGTTATAGTGTACCGCGCTCCTGGACCGTACTCTGATTTTATATCTGAATTTTCAGAGTTTCTATCAAGTTTAGTCCTTAAATCAGATAAAGTAATTATTGTAGGTGATTTTAATATTCATGTGGATGTTGACAATGACAGCCTTAGTAATGCATTTATATCATTAATAGACTCAATTGGCTTCTGTCAGAGTGTAAATAAACCAACTCATTGTTTTAATCACACTCTTGACCTTGTTCTATCATATGGCATTGATATTGAACATTTAATAGTCTTCCCACATAATCCTTTCCTATCTGACCATTATTTAATAACTTTTGAATTCATACTATTAGATTATAAGCCATTAGGTAAAACTTCCTACAGCAGATGTCTATCTGACAGTGCTGTAGAATGAGGAAGGCCAAAGTAGCTCTCTCTGATCAGCTGGCTGTATAACAACTGTTGGATGAGCCTTCACTACCTCATACTCTGAACGTGGTGTTCTCCTAAAGACGTACAGGCACCTCATCTCTCTCTCTCTCTGTCTCTGTCTCTCTCTCTGTCTCTCTCTCTGTCTGTCAAATTCAAATTCAAAATGGGCTTTATTGGCATGAAAGTTTTTTAAAAAACAATATTGCCAAAGGAAAGCATCAAAATACAATAAATCAAAGATATAAACATTATGAACATTATATTAGTTATATACAGTGTTTGTGTGTGTGTGTGTGTGTGTGTGTCCCTCAGGTTGTGGCATGTTAATACATACTGGGCAGCAAGGTGTGCCCGCTCTCCTTCTCTGAGGAGTATTTTTAATTTGGAGAGATCGTTCAGCTCTTTGAAATCTGGAACCAAAGAGCTGAACTTGTTCAAATAAATGTTTCTATTGTTATTTAATGTTGTACATTGTAGGAGAAAGTGCATCTCTGTCTCAACCTCACCTGTCCAACAGTGACCACATTTTCTGTTTTCTTTTGGTTGCCATGATGTTTTGTGTCTTCCTGTTTGGATTGGCGGTTTGTGGTCACTGAGCCTGTACTTGGTTAGGATCTGTCTCTGCTTTCTATCTCTGACAGTAGAGAGATATTCTGCTCATTCATAATCTCTTTTAAGGGCAAGATAACATTCCAATCTACTTTGGCTTTTAGTTGTTTCTTCCCAATGGTCCAGATAGCTTTCTTTACATTGTGCTATCATTTGCTTTACTCTGATTACTGTTTGTAGAGCAGTGTTGTTGTGAGGCTGGTCAGAGTGTGTCTGAGAGGGGGCAGTTAGCCTCAGTACCAACTGACATAGGGGACTCTTTTCTGGGCTCAGCTCTTGGGTTTGGAGGGCTTTGGAGTGGAGGGTGTCTCTGGGGCTGGATTTCAGGTGGTTAAAGAAGTTGAGTGTTCTCTTCTGAATGTTAATTATCAGTGGGTATCTGTCTAATTCTGCTCTACATGCATTTGTTGGTGTGTTTCTGTGTACGTGTAAAATGTATCTGCAGAATTCTGCATGTAGAGATTCTGTTGGATGTTTGTCCCAACGGGTAAAGCTCTGATGACTGAGTGGACCCCATACTTCACTACCGTACAGCGCAATGGGCTGGATGACACTATCAAATATTTTAAGCCAGATTTTTATTGGAATACGGAAATTATAAAATGTTCTCTTAATTGCATATAGAGCTCTTTGAGCTTTTTCTTTTAGTGCATTCACTGCCATGTTGAAACTCCCTGATGCTGTTATGGTTATACCAAGGTAGGTATAACTCATGCAGTGTTCAATGACATGATTATTGATGGTAAATTGGTGTTTGTTCTCATACCCGGTTTTAAACATTATGACATTGGTTTTCTTCATGTTTACTGCCAGGGCCCAGTTCTGACAGTACTTTTCTACTACGTCCAGTTGTAGCTGTAGTCCTTGTTCAGTAGGAGACAGTAGAACAAGGTCATCAGCATAAAACAGAGACTTTACCTCTCTATCTAGGAGGGAGAGGCCCGGAGCAGCACATTTATCTAACTCAACAGCCAGTTCATTTATATACACATTAAATAAAGTCGGACTTAGATTGCAACCCTGTCGAACGCCTCTTCTCTGGGGGAAGAAATCAGTTAGTTTGTCTCCAATTTTAACAGCACACATGTTTTCCAAATACATCGATTTAACCAGATCAGACATTTTGCCACCTATACCACAGTTTAAAAGTCTGTAATAGAGCCCTTCATGCCAAATAGAGTCGAAAGCTTTCTTGAAATCAATAAAGCAGGTGAATATTTTTCCATTCTTAGTTTGTTGTACCTGTTTGTTGATTAAAGTGTGAAGGCTATATACACTGTCGGTGGTGTGGTGTTTTGGGAGGAAGCCAATCTGACTTTTACTTAAGATTAACTGATCCTCAAGGAAATCTAGTATTCTTGTATTAAGAATACTACAGAATAGTTTACCTAGACAGCTGCTGACACAGATGCCACGGTAGTTATTAGGGTCTGATTTGTCCCCACTCTTATGAATGGGGGAAATGAGCCCTTTGCACCAGATGTTGGGAAAACCTCCTGCCTGTAATATAACATTGAACAAATGTAATATGGCACCCTGCATTTCTGGGGTGCTGCTTTTGAGCATTTTGTTTCTAATGCTGTCTGGACCACAAGCTTTTCTTGGCCTCAGACATTTTGTCTGTGTGGTTATTACTTCCCAAGTAATTTCGAAATCAAGGGGGTTTTGGTTGTCTTTAATTGTTTCTTCTAATTTTTGGAGTTTTTCTTTCATAATACACTGATCTGAATTGATTTGATTGATTGGTATGTCTTTGTACAGATTTTCAAAATGTGATCTCCAGATGTCACCGTTTTGGCTGTCTCTCTCTCTCTCTGATCCTTTCACAGAAAAACAAAACAAAAACTTGAACGTTTGAACGTTTCACTGCAGGCTTTTATTTTGAAAGTTGGGATTTGAACACAACAAAGGTGATTGATTTCATCGTGTCTCTTCTTCTGTCCAATGCTTAACAAATCCACGATCCACATCAGACTGGATCCAACCAGCCGGTTGACCATCAGAAACTAAAAACACACCTGCTCAGGTAAGAGCAAGAGAGAGAGAGAGAGAGAGAGAGAGAGAGAGACAGAGAGAGAGAAGAGACAGAGACAGAGAGAGAGAGAGAGAGAGAGAGAGAGAGAGAGACAGAGAGAGAGAGAGACAGACAGAGAGAGACAGTGAGAGAAAGAGAGAGAAAGAGAGCTCTGGTAAACTTTACAACCAATCAGCCGTCAGACTCCAGACTGTTCATGCTTTTATTTTGACGTATCTCTCCATGCAGGTTGATACAGTCGCCATGGAGACGAGTCTTCCTCCCCTCATCTGGAACCACAGAAGAAGAAATCAGCAGGAAAGAACCAGACTGTTATTCTGCCCCAAATTCAGCCTCTCAGGTTGTGTCCCGCCCCCCAGAGAGCTCCACCAATCAGGAGGAAGCTGCTGCATGAAGCTTGACAGTCAGAGGGGGCGGGATCCTCAATCAGGAAGTACAGTTTGTTTATGTGCTGCAGGTGACGACGGGTGCTTACCTTAGTGTGACACACAGCTGACCTTCGCTCTGCGTTTGGACCCAACGTCAGCGCCTGCAGCTCAAACACACGCTCTGATTGGTTGGTGCTTTTATTGTGAAACTCTTTGTGTTACAGTGACAACAGGAAGCTGTTCAGATGAAAGGTAAATGTCTTTACCTGCTGGACTGATCCTGGACTTCTGTGCTGGTTCCTTTGGACCAGGATCTGGACCATCGTTGTGTTCGGCTGTCCTCACTTCCAATGATGTGATCTCTTCAAACTCAGACTCCCCGTTCCTTCTGTCTCCGGTCTCTGGGTCAGGACCAAAGTCCAGGCTCTGGGTCTCATCTGTCCCTGGTTCTGGTCTCATTTCAGCTGTTGGATCAGTGGGAATCCGGGTTCCAGTCTGTAGTGGTTCTGCAGGCTTCTCTGATTGGCTGGACTGAGATGAGTCAGGCTCGTCCATAGCCAGGGACCTCCGTATGACCGCAGGATGATCTGACGAGGACAACACAGTCAAACACAGACTCACAAAGACAGACTAGCCCACCACAGCCCACCACAGTCCACTACAGTCCACCACAGCCCACCACAGTCCACTACAGTCCACTACAGCCCACCACAGTCCACCACAGCCCACCACAGTCCACTACAGTCCACTACAGTCCACCACAGTCCACTACAGTCCACCACAGCCCACCACAGTCCACCACAGCCCACCACAGTCCACCACAGTCCACCACAGCCCACCACAGTCCACTACAGTCCACCACAGTCCACCACAGTCCACCACAGCCCACCACAGTCCACTACAGTCCACCACAGTCCACCACAGTCCACCACAGCCCACCACAGCCCACCACAGCCCACTACAGCCCACCACAGTCCACCACAGTCCACTACAGTCCACCACAGCCCACCACAGCCCACCACAGTCCACCACAGTCCACCACAGTCCACCACAGCCCACCACAGCCCACCACAGTCCTCACCATGGACTCTGCTGCCCCTCTCAGCTCGAGGTCTGGTCTTCTTCAGGTTGTGGCCCTTCCTGATCTCAGCCAGCAGGTTGTCGATGATGCAACCTTCGTCCTGTTTGGACACGTCCCTCCTGACTGGAGGACAGAGACGTCTTCAACATTCAGGTTTATTATGATTATTGTTATTATTATTATTGTTGTTATTGATGTTATCATTTTCGTTATTGCTGTTGTTATTGTTCAGTTATATATTTTGTTGTAGAAATATTAGGTGGACTGCAGACTGAATTTAAGGTGGATGACTCACTGATCTTTGTGGTGTCTCCTTTGAGTTTCCTCTCCTCCTCCTGCTGCTTCCTCCTCTTCTCCTGCTGCCTGCGACTCTCGTTCTCCTGATCATCAATAACATACCAATAACATTATCAATAACGTACCAATAACACCGATAACATCATCAATAACGTACCAATCACATCATCAATAATGTATCAATAACATACCAATCACATCATCAATAATGTATCAATAACATACCAATCACAGCATCAATAATGTATCAATAACATACCAATCACAGCATCAATAATGTATCAATAACATACCAATCACAGCATCTTATTATTTGTCTTTAATGCATCTTTCAATAAAAGACAATATTACAACTGGCTGCCTGTGATTGGCTGCTGACCATGCTGCCCTGTGATTGGCTGCTGACCTTGATGGCTTTGAGGAAGAGTCCTCTGAAGGTCTTGATGGTGCTAAAGAGTTCGTCGATGGAGAAGCTGCTGCTGTCCTCACACAGGTAGGTGGACAAGTGCGTCCTCTGGTCCTCCAGCGAGGACAACAGCTGCTGCAGCTGCTCACAGGCCTGCAGACTCTCCTGGAAACACCACAGAAGAAGAAGACAGAGCAGGTAAACACACTGTCATTATTGTGAAGGTGCAGCAGGGGGCAGCGTGGTGAGTGTACCTGTATGGGGGACAGGTACTGCTCCTTCAGGTCCTCAGAGGACGACCACAGTTTCCTCTCTGCGTTCTTCAGCTGTTTGATCAGAGCGCTGCTTTCAGACTGAATGGACTCCAGATTTACCCTGCACACACACACACACACACACACACACACACACACACACACACACACACACTCTCAACATCTGTCCAACAACATCTGTCCAACAACATCTGTCCAACAACATCTGTCCAACAACAGTAGTGTTCAGTTTACCCAGCAGCCTTTTCACAGATCTCCAGATCATCGGGCAGGTTGAGCAGATCTGGATGGTTTAGCTCCGCCTCCTGTCAATCACACAAACAGCTGATGATGTCATGATGGCGCTCAACAGAGCTGGAGAACATTAGAGAGGACGAACTGGAGGTTGAAGATGCTGACAGGTTTCAAACCTCCAGGAGTCACTGAAACAGTTTCCTGGTCCTTGAACTAATCCAAGGATTTCCAGGAGTTCTATAACCAGTAACCAGTATAACCAGTAACCAGTATAACCAGTAACCAGTGTAACCAGTATAACCAGTGTAACCAGTGTAACCAGTATAACCAGTGTAACCAGTGTAACCAGTGTAACTAGTATAACCAGTATAACCAGTATAAACAGTATAACCAGTGTAACTAGTATAATCAGTATAACCAGTATAACCAGAATAACCAGTATAACCAGTGTAACCAGTATAACCTACCTGCAGGATGTGGTGCAGCAGGGTGATTCTGGACTTGTTGGCTTTAGTTTCGGTCAGTTTGAGCAGAGTGCTGATCTTAAAACCTTCAGCGTTTCCTGTGTGAGTCCCCTATAGTGATGACATCACACAATGATTGATGACATCACAGAACAACAAGTGACATCACTGACATCTTCAGGTACAAAGTGACATCATAATCATCTATCAACGTGAATTTTGTGTGAAGATTCTCACATAGTTTAGAAAGTTTCCAACACTCAGGATGAGTTTACAGAAACTGGGCAGACGAGTGCTGTCCCTCACACCTAAACACACAATGACACAATAATAAACAATAAACAATAATACACAATGACACACAATAATAAACAATAATACAATAAACATAAACAATATAAAAGGAAACAATAAACAATACAACAATAAACAATATCACCAATAATAAACAATAAAAAACAATGACACACAATAATAAACAATAATACACAATGGAACACAATAATAAACAATAATAGACAATGACACACAATAATAAACAATGACACAATAATAAACAATGACACACAATAATAAACAATAATACACAATGACACACAATAATAAACAATAATACACAATGGAACAGAATAATAAACAATATTAAACAATGGCACACAATAAACAATAATAAACAATGACACACAATAATAAACAATAGTAAACAATGGCACACAATAAACAATAATAAACAATGACACACAATAATAAACAATAGTAAACAATGACACACAATAATAAACAATAGTAAACAATGGCACACAATAAACAATAATAAACAATGATACACAATAATTGATCCTCTGTTGATGCCCTATTGTTGCCCTATTGATGCTCTATTGATGCCCTGTTGATGCCCTGTTGATGCCCTATTGATGCTCTATTGACGCTCTATTGATACCCTATTGATGCCCTGTTGATGCCCTATTGATGCTCTATTGATGCCCTGTTGATGCCCTATTGATGCTCTATTGATGCCCTATTTATGCTCTATTGATGCTCTATTGATGCCTGTTGATGCTCTATTGATGCCTATTGATGCCCTGTTGATGCTCATTGATACCTATTGATGCCCTGTTGATGCCTGTTGATGTCTATTGATGCCCTATTGATGCTTGATGCCCTATTGATGCCCTGTTGATGCCCTGTTGATGCCCTGTTGATGCTCTATTGATGCCCTGTTGATGCCCTGTTGATGCCCTATTGACGCTCTATTGATGCTCTATTGATGCCCTGTTGATGCCCTGTTGATGCCCTGTTGATGCTCTATTGATGCCCTGTTGATGCCCTATTGATGCTCTATTGACGCTCTATTGATGCTCTATTGATGCCCTGTTGATGCTCTATTGATGCCCTATTGATGCCCTGTTGATGCCCTATTGATGCTCTATTGATGCCCTATTGATGCCCTATTGATGCCCTATTGATGCTCTATTGATGCCCTGTTGATGCCCTGTTGATGCTCAATTGATACCCTATTGATGCCCTGTTGATGCTCTATTGATGCCCTATTGATGCCCTGTTGATGCCCTGTTGATGCCCTGTTGATGCCCTGTTGATGCTCTATTGATGCCCTGTTGATGCCCTGTTGATGCCCTATTGATGCTCTATTGATGCTCTGTTGATGCCCTGTTGATGCCCTGTTGATGCTCTATTGATGCCCTGTTGATGCCCTGTTGATGCCCTATTGATGCTCTATTGACGCTCTATTGACGCTCTATTGATGCCCTGTTGATGCCCTGTTGATGCCCTATTGATGCCCTGTTGATGCCCTATTGATGCCCTATTGATGCCCTATTGATGCTCTATTGATGCCCTATTGATGCCCTGTTGATGCCCTATTGATGCCCTATTGATGCCCTATTGATGCCCTATTGATGCCCTATTGATGCCCTGTTGATGCTCTATTGATGCCCTGTTGATGCCCTGTTGATGCCCTGTTGATGCCCTATTGATGCTCTATTGACGCTCTATTGATGCTCTATTGATGCCCTGTTGATGCCCTGTTGATGCCCTGTTGATGCTCTATTGATGCCCTGTTGATGCCCTGTTGATGCCCTGTTGATGCCCTATTGATGCTCTATTGACGTCTTGTCTATTGATGCCCTGTTGATGCCCTGTTGATGCTCTATTGATGCCCTGTTGATGCCCTATTGATGCCCTATTGATGCCCTATTGATGCTCTATTGATGCCCTGTTGATGCCCTATTGATGCCCTATTGATGCCCTGTTGATGCCCTGTTGATGCCCTATTGATGCCCTATTGATGCCCTATTGATGCCCTGTTGATGCCCTATTGATGCCCTGTTGATGCCCTGTTGATGCCCTGTTGATGCTCTATTGATGCCCTGTTGATGCCCTGTTGATGCCCTATTGATGCTCTATTGGTCTATTGCGCTCTATTGACGCCCTGTTGATGCCCTGTTGATGCCCTATTGATGCCCTATTGATGCCCTGTTGATGCCCTATTGATGCCCTGTTGATGCTCTATTGATGCCCTGTTGATGCCCTGTTGATGCCCTGTTGATGCCCTGTTGATGCCCTGTTGATGCCCTATTGATGCCCTATTGATGCCCTGTTGATGCCCTATTGATGCTCTATTGATGCCCTGTTGATGCCCTATTTATGCTCTATTGACGCTCTATTGACGCTCTATTGATGCCCTGTTGATGCCCTGTTGATGCCCTATTGATACCCTGTTGATGCCCTGTTGATGCCCTATTGATGCCCACACAGAAATAAAAGGTGTGTATACTAACTCTGACAGGCTCGGTCCAGCAGCTCAGCTTTGGGCTTCAGAGTCTCCAAAACACAGCTGCTCTCCTCACACAGCAACATGCACTCTATCCTCAGAGAGTAACTACACACACACACACACACACACACACACTGATGTGATTATCAATAATAATAATATCAGTGATTATTAAGTTTAGTTTGATCACTAAATTAAAACAGGTTAAAAACAGTTCTCCGATTAGTTATAAATATTTACAGCCACTAACTGCAGGCCGTAACTACTGTGTAAGGTGAGTCCTGAACCATCCCTTAGTTATGCTGCTATAGGCCTAGACTATCGGGGGATTTCCCATGGTGCACTGAGCTCCTCTCTTCCTCTCTCTTTCTGCACTCATACATGTCCCATTAATGCATGTTACTAACTTCACTTCTTCCCCGGAGTTCTTGTGCTTTCTCGTCTCGCAGGTTCTTGTCGATCCTGGTGGAGCCTCCTGCCATGGTCCTGCTAGATTGCCATTGCCAATACTGTTGTTGCTGTGCACCTGTCTGTCTGTCTGTCTCTCTCTGTCTCTCTCTCTCTCTCTCTCTCTCTCTCTTTCACCCCAACTGGTCGAGACAGACGACCACCCACCTAGAGCCGGAGGATCTGTCCTAGGTTTCTGCCTTTTAACAGGCAGTGTTTCCTTGCCCTTGTCGCCAAGGTCTTGCTCATGGTGGTACTGTTGGGTCTCTGTAATTAATGTTAAAGAGTTCGGTCTAGACCTGCTCTATTTGAAAAGTGTCCTGAGATAACTTCTGTTATGAATTGGCGCTATACAAATAAAATTGAATTGAATTGTAAGCTAACTAACTAAGCTAACGTTAGCATGCTAAAATCTGAGCCATTTAGCGTAATATACGTATGGCTCAACATATCTAAAAAATGAATCCCATTAATTTCACTAAAATAACACAAATGACCATACTGTTAACTCTGAAACACACATTTCTCTTTCAGATTTATGTTTTATCCTCTAAAACTGGAAGTGATGCTAGCTTCTGATGCTACAGTGACTTCCTGTTTACTGATTGGACGGCACTAAAGAGGTTTCCCAGCAACAGATTTACACATTCAAATCTTTATTAGCTGAGACATTTGTGAAGTCTTAATGGTTGGACCTGAAGAGCTGCTGGGACTGGGTCCAGGTTTGTTATCTGATGAGCAGCAGGTGGTGCTGTTCTCCTACCTGGGGACATCCAGCAGCTGCAGGTAAAACTGATCCACTGGGGCCAACTTGTCCCTGTCTGACTGGTGAGACTTCAGGTTCTCTACCTGAGGAAGGAAAGGTAAGACAGAAGAGGGACAAGTGATCAACAGATGAGGTAAGAAAACAGCACAGGTGAGTAAACGAGTAACAGACAGGAGAAGAACAGGTGAGACAGATAAAGACAAGGTAAGACAAGTACATGAATAGTGGGACAAGAAAAGGACAGGTGAATACAGGTGAGACAGGTAAAGGACAAGTTGGGAAGAAAATGACAAGAAAGACCACTAGTGGACAGGTGGACAGGTGAAAGGCAGGTAGCACAGGTGAGACAGGAGAGGGACAGGTGAGTCAACACAAAACGTTGGATGCTAAAACACTGTGTGTGTGTGTGTGTGTGTGTGTGTGTGTGTGTGTATTTGATGGGGGGGGCATATTTATTTATAAAAGTTGGCAGTAGGGGGGTAAATTGTTTTAATGATGTGGGAATGTGTGTATTCATAACTTTCTAATTGAAATTTTGCACAACTGTGAATTTAGTAACTGTTATTAATTGATTGTATGTTCCATCTACCTGCCCAGGGACTACAGGACGAAGCCTGACCCGGTGCAATGCATCTCTCCTTGTTACATACAGGGTTAATGTTTTATTGTGCACTGTCCCTGCTCAAATAAAAGAAATAATAATAATAAAAACAGGTGGGGCAGGAAAAGAAAAGGTCAATGTGAGAAGTGATGGACAGGTAAGACAACAGAGACAATGAAAGTACTTGGTAAGAGGCAGGGCAGGTGAGACAGGAGAAGCAAAGTTAGGTACAGGTAGGACAAATCATACAGAAAGAAGAGGTGTACGACAGATGTAAGACAGATGTAAGACAGGTGTTTTAGTGTCACTGTGACCTCTGACCTCGTGTTTCTCCGGCAGCAGTTTGAGCAGCTGTTTCAGGACCTCCACGTCAAACTTGGACCTGTCTCCTCTCTGGATCAGAGACACAAAGTCCTCATGGGAGCTGCAGGAGAAGACAGGTGGGGCAGATGAGCTGTGCGGACAATGAGGGAGGCAGGTACGGACAGGTAGGGTAGTGGTGAAGGACAGGCGAGGCAGTTGGAGGACAGCTGGAGCACAGGTAAGACAGATGGAAAGGTGGACAGATAAAGAAATAACACATAGGACAGGTAAAGGACAGGGAGGGCTGGAGGGACAGCTGAAACACACAGGTGGAGGCAAAGTAGGACAGATAAAGGGACAGGTGATGACGGATGAAAGACAGGTAGAATACAGTGGAGGGATCAAGAACAGGTGAGACAGGTGGGAAAGTGAATGACAGACAGGAGTGAGGAGTATGAAGCAGAGACATGGACAGTTCACCTGTCCTTCACCCTGTTTCTATTGGCTGAAAGATTGACTGAGGGAAAGAGTTAGTCACCATTTGAACTGCTTCAGGAAGATGTTGAGGTTGAGGCTCTTCTTGGCGTCGATGAAGGAAATCTGTGGACGGAGACAAAGACAAAAAGTCAATCAGCGTTGGTGATTTATGTCAGTGAGAGTGAGAAATGTAAAGTTTAGTCGGCAGAACTTTAGTGTTATTATCATGTTATTGTGGACTGAGGAGAAAATGATCTCTGAACTTATATTTCTGCAGGTTATATGATACCGGCTGTATGGTGAGCAGTACAATCTGTTCTACCTTTTTGGGCTCAGTCTGGGCTTTGGTTCTGGTCTTGGTCTCAGTTGGAGGAAGACTGAAGAGCTGCTCGATGCTGCAGTAATCTGGTTCCACTGAATCTGAAGATGCCGACGTCCACAAGGACTGATGAGCTACAGAGAGACAGATCCACATATGAAGTCCTGGATCTGACCCAGTCCACACAAAACCAACTGCATGAAGGTAAAAACACGTTAAAACCTCACTGACCCGTCACTGCTCTGGACGGGAGTTTCTGCCAGTTCAGCTTCTTCATACGGAGGGTGGGACAGGGGGCAGGGCTGTAATACGACCTACCAAGACCTTGAGCAGTCTGGGCTGAGATCATGTCACCTGGAGGAGGCCCCATACCAGGTAAAGGAGGAGGAGGAGGAGGCCCCATACCAGGTAAAGGAGGAGGAGGAGGAGGAGGAGGCCCCATACCAGGTAAAGGAGGAGGAGGAGGAGGAGGAGGAGGAGGAGGAGGCCCCATACCAGGTAAAGGAGGAGGAGGAGGCCCCATACCAGGTAAAGGAGGAGGAGGAGGAGGGGGTGGAGCTCCTATACCAGGTAAGTGAGGAGGGGAAGGAGGTGTACCAGAAGGAGGAGCTTGAGGAGAAGCTGATGAAGCAGCAGTTGTGGAGGCGTCTTTGATGAGGTGCTCAGGTTGTCCAGGAGGACCGTCCGGTAGTCGAGTCTGTACCGCCCTGTCTATGGTCCGGACCTTGCGATTAGCTGAGAGGGATTTGTGGGGGAGAAGCCTCTCCAGCAGGCACTCAGCAGACTCTAAGTCAGCTATAAAACACACAGGATGGATCCATTATGGACCTGTACAAAGCCTCCCAGAACCTGACCCTGTCATATTAGTATATTTTGGGCCTGTTGGATCTTGTGGTTCGACCGTGATTTAAGCTTGTGCAATCATGTTTTCATTTATGAATACAACAGAGAGCATTTTACATGGCTGGATTACTGCAGCAGCCTCTTTAGCAGCCGGAACCATCAGTCCACCGACTCCAGACTGTAAAGAACCCAGTATGTTTTACAACTGATTCAAATTACTTTAAAGCTCTACAAGGTCTGTCCGCTATATCTGCGATCTATTTGTATCTTACTTTGAGATGCTCGGGCAGAGGTCTGTTGTCTGGTCCAGGGGCCCGGCCGAGAATCAGTCCTTCTTAAAACATACTTGATCTGGATTTTACTTGAACTTTATCTGGTTGAAATTCTCTTTAAATGAATGTTTTTATAACTTGTGCTTTATTTTGGTTTTTGTGATTCACTAATAAAGTGCTAATGTTGCTATAGATGAATGTTATTGTCATTATTATTACCAAGCCGATTAGACTGGGTATATCTCGTGGGCCCATGAAGACCTCTGAGGACAACATCCTGATAATCGATCTATTCTTACAGTTCTATTGATACCCTAACAGAGGAAAAAAGTTTATAAGAGATGGGGATGCGAGTGGTACTCACACACAGTGACTTGAGACTCAACTCTGATTTAACAAACAAAACTGCCAGTGGTACACCAGACTTACGGTCCTGGGACAGCAGCGTGGCTCGGTCAGCCAGCAGCTCCAGAGCTAACCAGACCTCAGCTCTGTCCGGATCCACCAACAGCAAGGCCTGAAGGATGGACAGCAGCTGGACAGAGGATGGACTGCTGGACACCTGGACAGACAGGGAGGGGGAGGACAGGTACACAGAGATTGTATGGTGGAGGTGAAGATGTTACTGTGGCAGGATCTCTCAGAATCTCTCTGCTTTGAGCAACCACACAGTCAGTGAGTGTGTGTGTGTCCAACTCTTCCTCACAGGTTAGTTAATGACAGACAGTCAGTGAGTGTGTCTGTGTCCAACTCTTCCTCACAGGTTAGTTAATGACAGACAGTCAGTGAGTGTGTGTGTGTCCAACTCTTCCTCACAGGTTAGTTAATGACAGTCAGTCAGTGAGTGTGTCTGTGTCCAACTCTTCCTCACAGGTTAGTTAATGATGTTACTGAGTCAATGTGAGCAGATTGTGTCTGTAGACTGAAGAGAATCAGAGTCTCACTGATGGTGGAAATAAAGGTTTTACTTCCTTAAAACAGCCGTTTTTTGAATGGAGTTTGGTGTGACAGTGTGGAGCAGAGGGGATTTGAACCTTAATAATTCCCATAAACTGAGCTGACCTACCTTCTAATAATGAACCTTGTAAACAGCAGAAAGTAACAGGAAGTGGAGATAAACCTTCCTGTTTTTCTGTGTCTGTGGTAGTAAAAGGTAGATTAATGAACACAAACATTAGTTTACAGTGACGTCACATTGGACAGACAGAAACATGATATTCAGTCAGGTTGTAGATGGTCTGTGCACTTTGACGGAGGCAGAGTGACTCATCAACCACTATTTTTTCTTTTTTCTATCTAACGACAGTGATCATTGATCAGTAATGACACAACATGATTATCTGCCTTACTTGGCAACTAACTCACTAATTAACAGCTGAAAATAAATACAGTATTTTTATTACCGCCAGTCAAATCAGAGGAAGTGCTTCCACCCAAAAGGGGGCAGAGTGAGCTGCTCTCATCTATATACTGTAAGTGGTTACAGTCCTCTTCTTGTGCCTGTATGAGAGTATCTGAGAGATCAGCCTTCAGGGGGCGCCGTTCAGTGAGTGTGACTATCATACATTATTTTAACAAACACATATTTCATATATCAGATATTACTGAAGTGTCTTCATTCTGAGGGAACTGCTGTAAAGTAGGAAAGAGTTCAAATGTCTTTAGTGGGAGTTGGACGTTGATTACCATGGCAACAGTGGGGGTCCGGCGTGGCGGTGTTGGAGGTGAACGTTACCTTGGTGAAGAGCGAGGTGAAGACCTGCTGGTGGCTGCTCATGTCGATGCCTCCGTACAGTCTCTCCATCTCCTCCTCGTCCTCCGTCAGAGAGTCCTCGAACGCATCACACTGGATGTTCAGGTCCTCATCCTCCGTCTCCCTGGAGACAGAGAGAGACACAAACTGACAGATATGTTGATTATTGATTATTGGAGAGATGTATCAATAAATGCTTAATCGGTACCTCAGTCTGGGCAGCAGATCCAACAGCTGCAGTCCTGTAACAACAAGTTTCTGGTGAGAAAATCTTTTGATTGTCACTTGAATTTGATTCTGCGGTCTCCACGGCAACAGAATGAAAACATGCCCCGCCCCCATTCCAACATGTCTTCCATGTTCTCATCAACAGAGGGCGCTGGAGGAGCTTACTACCTAGCTGGTACCTAGCAACCACTAGAACAACAATGATTGATGTAGATTAGCAAGTTAGCTAGCATTTTGCTAACATTAGCCTAGCATATAGCATATCTAAGCACAGGAAAGGAGGAAGTTCTGACTGAGGATAGCGCAACATGTTCCTATCGGTTAATAAAGTCTATGACTGTTGGTGATATTATTCCTGTCAGTATTGGCAGTGACATGTTGTTGTGGTCGTACCGATGAACTCCTGCCGCAGGCGGTCCCTCTTCCTCAGGTCTTCCTGTCCTAGCACAAGGACGTTGATGACGCTCATCAGCGTCACCATGTACGGGACGTTGTCGGTGCAGTGGAGCTCGTTCATGATCACACTGAAGCGATACTGCTGCTTCTTCAGAGTCTGAACACAAACACACAAACAGACTGTCACTCACAGGTGGCGCTACCCAATAAGAAGTATGGGTACTCACAGTATTGGTGGGTACTGACCCATTTCAGGCTCTGGTCTTTGACCTGTGTCTGTAGTTCTGCAGTTATATATTAATCATATAAATATGGCCTCAAAACCTCCTTTATTGTCCCAATCAGCCAATCAGCTGCTGAGATAGTGTCCATATAGCTGATTATTAATGCTAATGATGCGAACTGTTCAACATATGCAGGTTAGTGTCAGTCAGTGTGGAGACCCAGACTGAACAGTTCTGACAGAAACCTTCAGGTACTGAGCAGTTCTGGTTCAAGTGAGGCTGTTGGCTGACACACTATTGACCCACAGAGGATGTGGGCCAAACTCCAGATATGTTTTTTAAGTTTGCTGCAAGTTTGAGCAGGACTGCAACTGCAAACCGAATTTGACCTGTTATCAACAACCAATAATGCAATAATTGCAATAACCATCTCTTTCTACTTTCTTCACTAGACCCAGCTTTTAGAAACCGGAAGAAGAGAGGCCTGGTTTCTTTTCGTGATCTCTTTATTGATGAGACCTTTGGTAGTTTGGAGAACCTTGTCACTAAATTCTACCTAATTGTGGTCGATTTAGATATTTCCAGCTTCGTAATTTTGTAAGAACTCACTTCACGTCCTTCCCTAAACTACCTGAGAAGACTCTTCTAGAAAATATAATGTCTCCCTCAGCATCACAAAACAGCATTGGATCAATTTACATTCTTCTTCTCTCCTCGCAAGCATCTTCTCTTTTATGGCTAAAAGACACATGGGAAAAAGAGCTTGGTCTGGGGCTGGCCGAGGATTGGTGGAGAGAGTCACTGCTCAGGATCAGCTCCACTAGCTCTTGTGGTAAATGGACCTGTACTTGTATAGTTTCCTTTCTAGTCTTCTGACCACTCAAAGCGCTTTTACACTACGTGCCACATTCACCCTTTCACACATATTCACACAGCAATGGCAAAGTCCATTGAACAGAAACTAACTCATTCACACACACTCACACACGGCATCAGGAGCAATTTGGGGTTCAGTATCTTGCTCAAGGATACTTAGACATGTGGCACCAGGAGCCAGGGATCGAACCAACAACCTTCCGATTAAGGAACGACCCGCTCTGCCTCTGAGCCACAGCCGCCCATTTGTTTGTGCTCGTATGAGCCTTATTCAGTTCAAAGTGGTTCACAGGATCCACTATACTAAAGCCAGGCTGAAGAAATTGTTTCCTGACACGGACAATTCTTTTATCAGATGCTCTCTCTCCCCAGCAGACCACACGCACACATTTTCTCCTGCCCAAAACTCAATTCCTTTTGGTCGTCTTTCTTCAATTCCCTTTCAGAAGTTCTGGACATCCCCCTGACCCCATGCCCTTTAACTACTATCTTTGGTGTGTCTCTTGTGGGCGGGTTTAACGAATATCAAGTGGACCTTGTTGCGTTTGCTGCTCTCATAGCCAAACGCCGCATTTTACTTCATTGTAAGAGACCTAATCTCCCTGGCACAACCTCTTGGTTAAAAGATTTAATGTCTTTTCTTCACCTGGAAAAAATTAAACACACAGTCAGAGGATCTGTGAGAAGATTTCATCGAACTTGGGACCCCTTTCTCTCCTATGTCAACTATCTAGCTTTGATAGACTCTTAAATCTGATCAAACACCTCTCTCTCCTTTCTGTTTTTGCTCTTGTGTATATGTTCTAGTTTCATTTTTATTATTATTTTATTATTATCATTATTGATATTGTTAGTTTTTATTATTATCATTATTTATTATTTTTCTCCTTTTATCTACCTCATGAAAATGCACATTGTACCTAAGACTAAGGTGGGTGGGTGGGTGGGTGGAGGGGAGTTGGGTGCATTGTATTTTGCCTGTATGTTCTTTCACAGACAGTCTACTTAAAAAAAAAGAAAATATGAAGATGTCAGACTTCTCAGTTACAGGTAATCTGTATCCTGCTTGTAAGATGCTTTGAGGTTTGCACAATAAACATATTTAAAAAAAAAAAAGTTTGAGCAAGACCGATAAAAAGGTTCTGGAGTGCAGTAAGAAGAGCTGATAGCATCTCACTAGCATGGCAGCAAAGGTGTTTGTTGTTATTTGAGAACTGATCGTTAATATGATAAATCTGTTCAGGCTAGCCAAACCCTGCTCACAGTTTGTTCAGCAGGTATTTGATGAGTTATCTGTAGTTTTTGGCAGACAGAGTTGCAGCTTATCTTCAGGAAGAGGTGGACGGGTGGGTACGTTCCTGCCCACATGAAGGCGGTGAGGAATGGCGTCCCATCATGCCAATGAGTCAGAACAAGCCTGGGCGAGGTCAGGAACAAAGCTTATCTGCAGTCACACCCTGCTGTTCCACACACACCGATTTCTGTTCCCTCTGCAGCCGATACACTCACTCTGATAAGGTTTGATTCAAATGTGCAGCATAGATGGTGCTGACGGACGGACGGACGGACTAAAAGTGTGAAGCTAATAGCACTTACTACAGCGAGCAGCAGGGTAAACACATCATAAACAACATCATACTGTGCTGATGGGTGAGGGGGGGCACTATGTGGATCTGTGGACAGTGAACTCTCTGTAGCCAACCTTGTAGTGGTCGAGGGCGTCCAGGCCCAGGTGGTGTCCCTGAGGGTCAAACAGAGTCAGAGCCGCCAACAGCTCAAACACCTGCATCTTCACCATGACGTTGGAGGTGTCCAGAGCTGAGGGACACATAGAGACAGAGACAGTCATTCACCTGTAGAACACGTTATAGCTCCATCGGTACGCCGAACCCTGGATGGCTAACACTCTCCTGAAAGGTCAAAGGTCACCGCTAGGGTCTCGCCACAACAGTAACGTTAGCACAGCATCGCTCGCCGTTCAATGCGACAGGATTTACAGACTGAAAAAAGTCTGGAAGAAGGAAAGTATGTACGATCTGTTGGACAGATGTTGACAGCTGGTGAGACCTGTGCAGGTGGATGTCTGTGGATGCTAACATAGCTAGCAACAACAACACGCAAGACACGGATATTAAAATGTATTGCCGTCGAGTAGTATCGTAGCTCATGTATCGAGATCATACGGAGGAACTCACCCTGGGTCAGGGTCCTGACGTAACCCTGGTTGTCCAGGATGAAGTGCAGTCCTTCGGACGAGTTCATGACGGCTCGGATGCAGGCGACGCAGGTGAGCTGCAGCAGGGCGTCGGCAATGCGAGCGCAGCCGCGTCCGGAGAGTCGCTCCAACGCCTCCATCAGCAGGTCCAGACCGCGCAGCTCCAGGAACTGAACCATCCAGGCCTGATCACTGGCTTCCAACCGCCGCCGTAAACCGGAGTAGTTCACCACGGTGGGAACCTGAGGGGACGCAGAGAGGTTGGACAGTCTGATCTCGTCCTTAAACACAGCTGCTGGTTGGTTAAATAAACATAAACATTATCTGTAATCTACAGAAGGATGGGGGGGGTGTGTGTGCCAATATCAGAGTTATTCATTATAGATTATTTCTGACATTGAGACGTTGGCGTACTGCAGAATCAAAGCTCTTTACTTTCCTTTTGCATTTAAACCTGAAAACTTATTTCTGTTTTGAAGAAGGATTTGAATATTGGCAGCTGCAGGCTCCTGTACCTCCACCAGGTGTCAGCAGTCCTACCTGCAGCAGTCGGATGCAGAGTTCAGGGTCTGCGTTCTCCAGATTCGCCTCCAGTGTGGCGTCGGGGCCATGGGCGGGGCTTCCCGTCAGGCGCTCCTTCATCGCCTCCCATTTTGTTTTGGTTGCCATAACGACAAGAAGCTGCAGAGACGAGACTGAAGGTTTTTATTGATCTGAAAACAGAAATATGGGTGCTTGAAGCGGCCAAAAGATTTCTGAAAATGACCCAAATAAATAAGCTTTTGTTTATTCACATAAAACATATTGAACTATTTATGAGATATGTCTGAATGGATTTCACTGAGGAGGATTTCATTATAATAATTTAATAACATTGAATATTTGAATCAGCTGAGACACACACACACACACACACACACACACATTGTCCTCTGTGTGTGTGTGTGTGTGTGTGTGTGTGTGTGTGTGTGTGTGTGGTATTTCACTTCATAAAAGAGTCTTTATGTCGAGTTCAGAAAGTGTTTGTTCTACTTCCTGCTAACAGCAGCAGTTTACAGCGTTACCGTGGTGACGGTGGCAGTTTGTGTTTTATTTAGTTATTATTTTGTTGTTTGTTGCTGTAGTCTGCACAATACTTATGATAACTTCATTATATTCATATTGTAATTGTTTTAGACTGCTAATTAAAGAATCCTTTAATTAAGCCGATAATAGATTAGCTGAAAAAAAGTGATAAAGTGATATAAACCAATATAAACTAATATAACTTGATATAAAGTGATATAAACTAATATAATCAGTTTTTTTTTCTGTGCACATTTTTGAACAAATAATCAGTAACTGTAATCAGATTACATCTCCCAACCCTGAGTAGCACATAGAGCAGAACAGGAAGCTGGTTGTACACGGTGAGCATTATCAGCTGCTGGCTCCCACCCTCCTCCCCAACCACACCAGACTCCCTTTACACATACAGGATTTAAGGAGCCCTTGTCCCTCAACTGAAGCACGCACGCAGCAGAATATAGGTTGGAATAATGTCGACATACTCAGAGTATTGTGGTGAAGTCGGCAGGGTACCAATCCCTCAGGAAGCTCTTTATCTGTAGTTTTACACAGTCAGCTCTCTAACTGAGGCAGTTCTCTGCAGCCCTGCGCTGTGGACTTCAGAGGACTCGCTCCCTGACTCTGACTGTTGGAGGAGCGGCAAGGACAGCCTTCAAACTTTCTGTTACTTTGAATAAGAATACCTGGCCGATATAACACTGGCCGAATGGCAGACTGCTTGGGATCGCTTCACGGCCTGTTGGCGATTATATTTATCGATACGTAGTCTTTTTCCAATCAGCCGTTAACTTTTAAAGTCCTAGTTTTTCCAACGAAGTTCGGCAGCAAAATAAAAGCCATCGGGAGTGAGGTTTCCCCATCACACAGGACTTTGTGTTTGAACCTCCATCAGTCTCACTGATCATCGGATCGATCCTCACCGTGTACCGGAGGGCTGGGTCCTTCCTCACCGTGTAGCGGAGGGCTGGGTCCTTCCTCACCGGGAGAGTCTTAATCCTCTGTCTCTGACCTCCGACTGCCACTCCGTGGGCTGTCTGCAGTCCTCTTATACGTCCGCCTGCTGTGGGCGGGGTCGGAGGTCACCGTACCAGCCGCCACAAAGTTACAGATGTGACTCTTCTACTCTGAGTTCTGCTGGGTTCTGCTGGGTTCTACTGGGTAAGGATTTTATGGAGCTGTTGTTGTTGTTCTATATATTTATATGTTCTATATATATTCTATATGTATTCTATAGAATATATTCTATGAAATATTTAAATATAAAATATTCTATATATATTTATATATTTACATATATTTATATATTTATATATTCTATATATATTTATATATTTACATATATTTATATATTCTATATATATTTATATATTTTATATATATTCTATATATATTTATATATTAACATATATTTATATATTTTATATATATTCTATATATTTATATATTCGGTAGCACTTTATAATGAGTACACACTATTACGCATGAGTTAAGCATGAATAAATACTGAATTCATCATTTATAACGCATGAATACACATTAGTATGTAGTTTATAAACACAGGTAAAAATGTTTTATTCATCATTGATAAGCACATTAGTTATGGATTAGTAAATACTGAATTCATCATTTATAAAGCATGATTCTGCTGTAAATAGTCATTACTATGTGGTTTATAATCACAGTTATAAATGTTTTACTCTTCATTGTAAAACATTGTTGTCTCAAACAATGTCGACTTTGCATTAGACATGAAATTATAAACACTCAATACACACACACAGACACACACACACACAGACAATGTTTCTCTGTTATTGTGCCAGATGGTGTATCCATCCTCAGAGCAGGTCAGAGTCCAGGACTGATCAATTCCTCCAAACCTGCTGTAATCACTGTTTCCTCTCCTGCTGATTCCTCTGTAAGTCACTGCTACACAAACCTCTCCTTCCCACTCGACCTCCCAGTAACAGCGACACAGCAGCTGATACCAGTAGTCAAATCTCTCTGGATGATCAGGATATGACTGATATTTCTGCTCCAGTGTCACCTTCCTGTTGTTGTCAGACAGTCTGAGCTTTCTGTTCACTGTGTTTGGGTCCACTGTGAGTTCACAGAAATCTGATGGAGAGAAAAAGACACAACACAGCAGTTTATCATCAGACACATCTGAAGGGTTACGGCACTTCTGATTTCTGTCCACATGAGTACTTCCTATTGCATACTGCCAACCTCTGGTGAGCATGGCTGTACCCACCACTGATGCCTTAATTTGCTGATTTCATGGAAGCTTTTCTAATTTTTTTTAATCTATGTTGTGATGTTTCTAGGGATTTATTTGCAATTAATTAGCAAAATAAGTGAAAATTAACAAACTGGTTGCTATTTTTTGGATAATTCATTAAAAATTGAAGGCAGTTGTTCCAGGGAGAATAAAATCTCACTGTTTGGAGGGTCAATGTGTCACACATGTCTGCAACAAAGAAGTATTGCTCAACATTATTTTGTGCAGGAAACTACAATGATTGGCCAGACATATGGAAAAGTGGTGGATACTGGACAAACTTTCATCGTCGAGTTTGTGTGTAATTTCAATCACAACATGGCAAATTCATTAAGTATGGACTATGGACTTTAAAAGTAAGTTTTTCATTGATCCAAATACCAATACTGCACTCTCGTTATTATTGTGTTATCAACAAACAACAAATACATTTCAAGACTATCATAGTCAGCATGTCTTGCATTAGAAAACAACCTTAATTTTGTCTTTGCACAGTTTAGGACCAGTTTCAGGTTATGAAGGTGTTTTTGAAAGAGGTTAAATGATAGCTGTAGATTTAGAGGGGCTGTGTGAATAGAATCTGCACAGGAATAAAGGACAGTGTCATCTGCATAGAGATGGAAAAAGCAGTTGTACAGTAAAGAGGTAATGTTGTTTTTATAAATAGTTAATAAAACTGGTTCAAGGACTGAACCTTGAGGGACTCCCTTTGCAAAGGACAGAAAAGAGGGCATTAATCACCTTGAGAATCTGGGACCTATCAGAGAAATAACTGTGAAACCACATGTAGCTAGCATTGTCATAACCTGAACAAAAAAGATGGCATAAGAGCAGAGAGCGGTCAACTGTGTCAAAAACTTTCAGGAAAATCAACAAACAGCAGCACAGTGTGTTATCTAATAACTGTGTGCTGTTTTTCATCATTAGTCAAACTGAATCCACACTTACACTTCCTCAGACCAGGTTGTGGGACGTTCTCTGAATGCTGGGCTACTTGTGGTTCCCATAGTCTCTAAAAGTAGAACAGGAGCCAGAGCCTTCAGTTACCAAGCTCCTCTCCTGTGGAACCAGCTTCCAGTTGTGGTTCGGGAGGCAGACACCCTCACCACATTCAAGAGTAGGCTTAAGACATTCCTCTTTGATAAAGCTTATAGTTAGGGCTGGATCAGGTGAGTCCTGAACCATCCCTTAGTTATGCTGCTATAGGCCTAGACTATCGGGGGATTTCCCATGGTGCACTGAGCTACTCTCTTCCTCTCTCTTTCTGCACTCATTCATGTCCCTTTAATGCATGTTACTAACTCCACTTCTTCCCCGGAGTTCTTGCGCTTTCTCGTCTCGCAGGTTCTCATGGATCCTGGTGGAGCCTCCTGCCATGGTCCTGCTTGACTGCCATTGCCAATACTGTTGTTGCTGTGCACCTGTCTGTCGCTCTCTCTCTCTCTCTCTCTCTCTCTCTCTCTCTCTCTCTCTCTCTCTCTCTCACCCCAACTGGTCGAGACAGACGACCACCCACCTAGAGCCGGAGGATCTGTCCTAGGTTTCTGCCTTTTTAACAGGCAGTTTTTCCCTTGCCCTTGTCGCCAAGTGCTTGCTCATGGTGGTACTGTTGGGTCTCTGTAATTAATGTTAAAGAGTTCGGTCTAGACCTGCTCTATTTGAAAAGTGTCCTGAGATAACTTCTGTTATGAATTGGCGCTATACAAATAAAATTGAATTGAATTGAATTGAATTGTAACCTCTGCTCTCCAACATGGTCCACCCTGGAGGAAGAAACACAGACCTGCTTGTCTTTGACACAGTACAATTACAGAATCTGAATAATTTTCTGTTCAGAATGAGACAGAAACAGTACCTGAGCGTCTCCAGTCTCCAGTGTGGATCCTCCACTTCAGCAGACAGTAGAGCCACTCCTGAGTCTCCTGGATGGTTGTAGGTCAGGTCCAGCTCTCTCAGATGGGAGGGGTTGGATCTCAGAGCTGAGGCAAGAGAAGCACAACCTTCCTCTGTGATCAGACAACCTGACAGACTGAAATAAGGCAAATATCATGCTGGTGAACATTTAGCTGCAGGAGGGAAAGAGATGTGGTGATGATGCTGGACCTCTGATGACTGCTGCACACACCAGATGGACACACCACTTCTTTACAATTGTTGCAAATATTGTTTTGTTGGGATTGCGATGTGTGTTAGAGAAACCGGGCAAGTTGAGTGAAAAGGAGTTGAGTGTTTGTATTGAAGTGTGTGTGTACACAGTGACCAAAAACTAAAGTCCTGAATCCTGCAGGTTGTTTTTTGGACAAGAGGACTGTGAGCTGAGAAGTGAAGACAGAGCCTCATAACTTCTCTCTGAGAGATTACAACCACTCAGCCTGAAGAAAAAAATTGTGATGAAGAAAAGTTTGAACACATTTCTGTTTCTCTCTTTATTTCATGAATGTATCTAGTTATCAATCCACTTACAGAGCTTTGTTGGAGGTTTTGACCACTGGCAGCAGCCTCATAAGAGCCTCTTCTGAACCAGAGTATTTCTTTAGGTCAAACACGTCCAGATTTTTTTCTGACAGTAAGATGAAGGCCAGAGCTGACCACTGAGAAGGAGACAGTTTATCTGTGGAGAGACTTCCTGAACTCAGGGACTGTTGGATCTCCTCCACTAGAGAACGATCATTCAGTTCATTCAGACAGTGGAACAGATTCCTGCTAGATTGCCATTGCCAATACTGTTGTTGTCTGTCTGTCTGTCTGTGTCTCTCTCTCTCTCTCTCTCTCTCTCTCTCTCTCTCTCTCTCTCTCTCTTTCACCCCAACTGGTCGGCAGACGACCACCCACCTAGAGCCGGAGGATCTGTCCTAGGTTTCTGCCTTTTAACAGGCAGTTTTTCCTTGCCCTTGTCGCCAAGTGCTTGCTCATGGTGGAACTGTTGGGTCTCTGTAAATAATGTTATAAAGAGTTCGGTCTAGACCTGCTCTATTTGAAAAGTGTCCTGAAATAACTTCTGTTATGAATTGGCGCTATACAAATAAAATTGAAAGTTGAATTTAATTATCTTTAGCCTGTATAGTGTGAATGCTTTAGTAATGTTGCTGTTGTAGTCTTTATGATTATTTTAATGATTTTGTATGTTTTTGGTCAGCTACTACTCCTGCATACTTTCAGCCACAGAAACAATTCAAATGCCCCTACTGTTAGTACTGCTACCTCTACTAATGATACTACTGTTAGTACTGCTACCTCTACTAATGATACTACTGTTAGTACTGCTACCTCTACTAATGATACTGCTGTTAGTACTGCTACCTCTACTAATGATACTGCTGTTAGTACTGCTACCTCTACTACTGATACTAATGATACTACTGTTAGTACTAATACTATTACTACTGATACTGCTGCTGATACTGCTGTTAGTCGTAGTACTGCTACCACTACTATTGATTCTGCTTATTTTAAAACCTCAGCTAACTTTGATTCAGTGATTAAGTACACCTGCATTGATGTGTCACTACTAAGACATAGAGACAGTAGCAAATATTTCAGATATAATCTGCTGTTCACTGGCAGAGTGGTTAAAGCTCACGGCCCATAAACACAAGGTTAGTGGTTTGATTCCAGTTTGTATGGGGACTGTGTATTCTCAATCATACTGTACATACATAATAATTATGCACACACACACTCTGCTGATCCTGTACATTTGGTTTTAATGAAGAACAGATTTGAGGTCATATAAACATGTTTGTACATAGAACACACACAGATATAACCAGAGACAGCGACAGACAGTTGGTATTTACATCAGGTCAAATAAATAGGAGGTACAGGTACGAGCCTGGCTGTTAACAGTGAAGAATATTATGTGCAGCGTGGTCCAGTGGTTAAAGGGAAGTCACAGGTTCAAGTCCCAAATCAGCCAGTGTGCCACTGGGCAAGTAAAATGAATCGACTCACTAATTTGTTAAAAGTTGCTTTATATAAATATAAATAAACTGTGTGTATGGACAACAAAACCTGACTTAATAGGAAATAAAGAATGACCAAAGTGAATCAAATATTCAAATAAATGTAACATAAATTAGACAATAAAAGGCACAAAATATATAAACATAATAATCATAATTTGTACTGAGGGTAAAATAGTTCAGATCACTGCTTTTATCGTTTTCACAATTTCACAAATAACATAAATCCACAGTCATTTTAATTATTATCAATTTTTAAATGTATTTAAACATCAGCACTTGAACAGGTTTTGAAATCATTCACTGAATTTATTTTTCTCCAAGTTAAGGGTCCTCCATACTGTTACCTGAACTCTAAATGTTCAGTGTTGGACTCGGTTATCTCTGAGATATAGGAGTTCTTAATGTCTTTAAACATTTTCATAAAACCAGAAGAAAACAATTAAATCGTTTAGATTTCATTTTCTCCAATTGTTGGACCACTCCCATAATAGAATCATAACAGAGGAAGAATCTGTGAGTTGTTTTTAGAAAAGTGACTGAACAAAGTGAAACTGACCGGTAAGATGTAGTGGTTAGACTTCTTGCAGCAGGAATCCACACAGGTGAGCTTTAATGGTAACAGCGGAGCATTAAAGTCTGTGCTGAACATACAAAGCTTTTACAAGACGACCGATCCCTTCCTGTAGTGACGACTCCCTAAGATTACTCTAAACAACACAGAATAACATCCTGTACAAAAAGGTGCTTTTATCAAATATTGTGACTGACAATAACTTGTACTGGAGGACAGTATAAAGATATTTACACATTTCTAGACATTTATCTACAAAATGCCAGAGTGGACGCTGGGAAAAGCTCTCGTAGTCTTGAGAAAGTGGTTTTTGGATCTTCTTTGGATATCAAATCACAATGATATGTATGTAACCATGACAATTTTGATTTTATTATTTCATTTCTTCACATTTAAACATCCATCGTGAGTATTTCTTCACACATATTTGCTATTGATTCAAAACAACTTCTAGACTTATAATCAGAGGGAATAAAGCAGGACTTGTCCTCTCCAGCTGTTAACAGTTGTCTACTGTAGAATAATTCATCATTTGATTGGGTAAGTCTTGAGGCGGATCATCTCTTCCCTACTTTAACAACCTGTTTTTGAAAAGTATTAATATATCTTTGGGTTCATTAATTCAGAGTTTTGGTGTGAAGTTGTGTTTATTCAGCTCAGGCTCTGGAACCGTTCTCTCAGATTCTTTACGATGCTCTGCTGACCGGCTTCAGGCTTCTGTCCGGACTTTGAACTCTGGGACTCGTCGTCCTGATCTTCTGCCTCTTGGGGCCTCGCCGGCTCACTTTTAGCTTTCACTTCCTCCCTCTGTTTATATTCGTCAGACTCCTGATAGACCCGGCAGCGGTCGATGACAGCCATGATGGAGATCTTCTCCCTGCTGGTTGGTGAACGGATCTGAACGTAGTTATCGTCCCCTTCTTCTTCTTCTTTGGATTCTTTAGCTGTTTCCGCAGACTCTGGAAGCTTCTCCATGACGATGATCTTGTGTTCAGGGTCGTTTGGTAGGGGCGCCTCGGCTGCGACGTAGTAACTGTCGGAGTTGCTGTTTGCAACCTGGTGCTGGAGCTTCTGCAGCTCAGTCATTTGTGCTCCGCTCATCCGAGGGTCCAGAGAATTGGCTCTGTGAAGACGTTTCCTGCGTTCTTCTCTGCTGGCGTCCTGGCTGCTGCGAGGCTTGTACGAAGGAACCTCTCCAGAAGCTCCTTCAGGGAGGAGGCTGGAGGAGCAACTGGAGTGCCTCCTCAGACCACTGTCAAACATTTGCTCTGGGATAGAGCAACTCCGGCTTACAGAACTCTTCTTGGAGTATTTGGAGCGGAGTTCTCTGACGTCGGGCCAGTTGAAGCCCTCGTTGGAGGACTGAGGGGGGCTGAGGGGGCTGAGGGGGCTGCGAGAGCGAGCCCGGCCCGGGGGGTCCACAGGGCTCAGCGGTAGAGAGGCTGCCTCCTTATGAGAAACCAGCGGCAGGGTCAGGTTGGGTTTACCTGCAAAACACAAAACACATCATGAATTCTAATCCCCAATCCTGTGTAAAAATGGATCTTTAAAGACTTCTGATTTGAATATTTAAAAGAAGTATTTGTCTTAATTTAATATATCAGGACTAGGGCTGCCCCCCTACTAGTCAAGTAAACTGTTAGCCCATGAGATGAGTGTCAGTCGACGCAGTTTTCATTAGTCAGATATTCGCAAAAAACAAAAACGTCAAATGGGAACTGCGTCTTGTCACCTTGTCATGTCTATGAGCTTGAAGTATTGGGGAGGTTTGCTTACATCACTAGCACAGGAAGGAGCTTTTAGAAACTCCAGGTGTCATAAATTCAGGCAAAGACAAGTCCATGCAATAATGTCTGTGCTAGGGTCGGACAGCAGAGTTGATTGTAGGAACAGTGGAAGGACGAATGCTGCCTTTGCAAATTAAACTATTGGTGCAATAGCCCTAACCCTAACCCTAACCCTAACCCTAGCTTACATACAAAGTCACTGCAAAGAATATAAATAAATTCATGGCAGGCCAAATGACGCGATGTGAGCAGCGCAAATTCGCAAAATTTGGCCCATTCGCAATTTTGTGCGAGTTGAAAATATTGTTGGGTTGTGTGTGGAGGGAGAGACAGAGCAGCTGCTGCCCACAGACAGCTGTTTGAACACGGGGAGCTCTGCAGCAGAGAGCTGGAGCTTCTGGAGGAATAAACACTTGTAGTCACACCGGATTCTGCTCTGATCTGAGGGGGCTCTATGATACTACTTTATGTCTATTTCATATACAGAGAGCGGACAGACAAGGAGATTGCACAGAGAAAAAGAAGAGAGGAAGTTGGAAAATATCTGTCTGATTCTGGCTATCAGTCTTACTATGAACTAAGTTAGCATAGCCCTGCTCAACCATCTCCATTCAGAAAGACCAACAGTCTGAATTCAGACTTTTTACAAATTGCAATCATGACGTCACTATTTAAGCATCATATTGATCCCTTTATTGACATGAGTAACACGAAAAAATACCAATGATCCCACAAGTAAACTAGCAAAAATAATGCAAGGCGAATAACACACCTTTAGTTTTCTTAGTTTTATTTTGTTCCTGATGAGTTTTGTGTTTGAGTCTGTTTTATGGTGACTTAACGAGGCAGTTAAGCTTTAAGTATTAGTTTGGTAAAGTCAAAAACTTGAATTCAGAAAGTGTAAGGTTGTATTTGTCTGTTTAATGAGGAAAATAGGTGTTATTTGTTTAGTCTATTTTGTTTAATATAAGCTCAGCTATATCAGTAATCACTGGTTGTTGGAAACATCGGCCAACCCTAGTCTACAGTCGGCTGGCTGTTTGGGACAAATAAAATCGAATATGAAATTCGGCAAATTTCTATAAATAAAGAGCAGCAAAAACTGTGAAAAAGGAAACTGTTCTGTTAATCTTTGATGGAGCAGATGAGAAAAAGACAAACCTGCAGTACTCTCCTTCTCCTCCAGCACACAGGATAAGCTCTTCTTGCTGATCAGGACGCCCTGACTTCGCTGTCGGACAACTGGTTTGGTTGTTTTGATTTTCTGACTGTACTGACGAGCCAAATGGAGGACTTTGCTCTTGGTCTTGTCTACGTCATCCAGCTGGTTTGAGTTTTCGCTAGGCCTAACCCCCTCCGCCTCAGCCTTCAGCTGCGCAACCCGAGGAACTGGGACCCTGAGAAGGACAGCCTCCTCCCCAAACACCTTCAGTGAGTCCTTCAGACTTCCTGTCCGATTCACACTGGAGTCTTTGTGCATGAGGGGTGAAGGACTCATGGATTCCTCTGTGATGGTGCTCAGATCAGACACTCCACTCTCTCGGTCACAGCTCTTGTTTGGGGTCTTTGTTGTGTCAGAAAGGCTGACGTCGGTCACTCTGGAGTTTCTTGGAGCTTCTCGATATCGCCCTTTGTCTTCACTTTGGGATCTGGTGATCCCTCGTTCCATTGACTGCCAGATCTTGATCATTTCAGATGAAGGTCTGAACTCTTCGTCCTCAGATGGATTGTCCTGAATGCTTTGAGATCTGGACCTGTGGCTTTCTCCTGAATCTTCTGGATCTGTGCTTCTCTGATCAGACTTCAAAGAGTCCAAAGAGTCACCAGAGACCATGTAACCCCTGGTATCTAAGTCTGGCTCTGCTGAAATAGGGTCAAGACTGGAGGATGCGGTCAAGGTGGAGGGGTTTGTTTCCTCCTTTGGGATGCTGTTGAACCGGCTGACGGAGCTCCTGACCAGCCCAGACGGGATGTATGTTAGGCTCTCTCTGCGCTGGAGGCTGAAGGTGGCATCCTGGCTCTCAGCGTTCTCATAGTAACTCTTGATTTTGCCGATGAGCAGCTGGTCCTGCTTGGACAGAGTGGAGTCTCGCCTCCGCCGAATGCCTCGGTCGGCGTCAAAGAGGCTGTCGTCCCGAGGAGACAGGAGGGTCAGATCTGCCACGCCGAAGGTCTCCACAGCATCAGAAGAGACACTGTTGATCCGAACAGGACGGTCGGCGGGTTCAGCACTGAGACTGAGGCTGCTGCCGGTCCTGCTGGGTAACCGCGGTGAAGCGCAGCTGATGGAGCGGGTGTCGTCCTGGACCAGGCTGCCCCGTTTGATGCTGTTGGTGAAGTGCTGGGCGATGGCGCTGGCTTTGTCCAGGACAGAGGAAGGAAGGATGCTGGTGGCTTTACCCTCTTTCTCTGCCGCCTCCTTCACATCCTCCTCGTCCTCAGAGGATTCTGCACTGCTCAAGGTCTTTGAATCTGAATCAGGTGTGGCAGAGGACGGTTGCCCTGTGGGCTCTGGAACTCTTTCAAGTGTCACTTCTTCTGACAATTTAGGAGACGTTGAGATCCTGGGAGGCAAACTGTCCAGATCAGAGGAGGGTTCTGGTTCAGGGATTTCTGCTGGCTCAGACTCTGACATCGTCTCCTGTTGCGGCTTATGTGTGGAGGCCTAGAGAAATTCCAAAATACAGAACAAATAATTAGAGCTGGAAGATATTTCCTGAACCATTTCTCTGTTTGAATGAAGATAAACATCTTCAACAGAGACCAGAAACTTCCCTCGTCCTCTCAGAAAATAATTAAAATAATAGTTTTTTCCAACTGACTCTTCACAAAATCATCAGACCAAACATCAGTTAAACATCTGGTTTACTCCTCTCCCCGTGTGTTACTTCACATTTTCTGGTTCTGGCAAGAACTTCCTGTAACTGGTCTAAGAGTTCGAACCATCCAAAAAACATGTTTTCACACTATAAACAAACCAAACCATGGATCAGTATGATCCGGACCGAGACCACCTCTTTTCATCTGAGCAAGGTTCTGCGGTTTGGTCCGGGGGAGGTTTCACATCTGTAATTTTGGTTCGGATTAAATCAAACAAGGTAGGTGTCCAGAAACCAGATAAGAGATTGAAGCTAGACAGGAAGTGATGTCAGCAATAAGAAGTGTAATATCAGACATCAGAAAGGTATTGAACCTGCAAGTCGTCCACTCGGCTGTTATTTAACCGCTCGTGTGTCGGTTCAGTTCCTTCTGGCTCGTCTTCTTCCAGAAGGTGTCTGCTTTCTTTGTTGCAGCCGTTAGAGGAGACACTGCCTGCCTCCGCCTCCTTCAACAAAGAACCAAACATCAAATAAAATCTTTAATATTCAAAGAATCTGATGAAAACTCATCCGATCGCTTCTAAAGAATCACTTCACCCAAACAGAAGAAATCTCCTACAGAACCAATGAACACAACTACAACAGAACTCTGTTGTTTTATATTGTCCTGTGGTGGGAGGTTAGAGACCCTATGGTCGCAGCAGGAGAGCATGTTCTTCTATTGAGTGAACTAACCCTTCCTTTCAGACAAAAAAGGGATAAATTCTCTGCAGCAGTTTCACACCAAACACAAACTAACTCAAGAGCCTGAAAGCACACATGCAAATAAATGAAGCAACGCAGCAACCGAACACCGAGAGGCAGCAGCAGCAAACGTCTGGTTGCACTCTGCAACCAAACACAACCTGAAGCCATTAGCCTGTAGCCCCGCAGTTAAAGACCCCCCAGTTAAAGGTACATTTTATTTTATGTGAGCTACATTAAGGGAACAGTTCTTAATAAATCCTCTTGTTCTCTGTTATCTCCACAGTCTCCAGATGGGGGTGATACCCCTGAAGAATGATTGGTCACCCCATTATCAGTCCCTCTTCCACTCGCACTGTGTTTCAGAGGTTGCAGTGGCTCCATTATAAAGCTACAGTGAAACTATGGTATCATATGAAACTCCTGAAGGGACCGGGGATTGTTGAGTAAACTAATGACCCCTGACTGAAGTGTATTTATGGATAGATATTCCAATCCAATATTCAATGTATACATAACAACTGATCTGTGTTTTCCTGATATTTTTATACAACTCTGTATGTATTATGTTGTTTTGTTTAAATGTTAACAATTATACAGACTAAATATTCTTCTTTTCTGTTAAGAAGACCTCGGGACCCCACTGTGATCCCAATGGTACCAACCATGTCCTGCTAGCATGTCAGGAAGTGGGCTAAATAAAGCATGGCCATTTCCAAGTCTCCTCTTAACACACTTACAGACGCTATCTCATGCAGTGAGAGTCTCATGGGGTCCATAAACAGTGTTGGAATTGTGCCCCCCCAGTCAGAAAAGTCTGGACCCGCCCCTAACTCCAGGTTGTTTAGAACAAGATGATTTATGGAGCAAACGGCGGTTCAGTTAGTTCCACAGGTGAAGCTCATGCAGCAGACAGCTGAGAGCTCCGGAGCAGCAGTGCTAGTACAGTAAGTCATCCATGAGCGGGGGTGTTGTTATCCGTGACTTTAGTGTGTTACAGAGGAGGAGGAGGACGGATGGAGATGAAGACCAGGCTGGCAGCAGAAAGCCTCACCGTCACCATGGCAACCTCCATAGAGAGCAGAGCCTGCGCCCTATAGTGCCAACACGAGATGGCGGCCAGCATGGAGCTGGCGAAGTCGTCTACCTGCTCGTCCTCCGGCAGAATGTCGTCTGGCTCGCTGTCTTCCGCCGCCATCCTGTGAGACCGCTGAGGAGACAACCTCGCCACCTCTTCCTCCTCGTCTTCCTCGCTGCAGGTCAGTCGCTCCAGTGAGTCCTTCCTGCTACCGAGCTCCTCCTCCTCCTCTTCCTCGTGCCCAAACTCGCCCAACGCGCTGCTGCTGGTGGCGGGCTGCAGCGAGCGGTGCTCCCCAGGTGCCCCCCCGTCACTGTCTGAGTGCTGTGGGACGTCAAACACTCCTGATCGGTTTCTGATCGGTTTCTTCTTTCTCTCTCTCCCCCTGGTGGCTGACTGCAGTATAGACTCTCTCTCTCTCTATCTCCCCCTGGTGGCTGACTGCAGTATAGACTCCATTTCTGTCTCCCCCTGGTGGCTGACTGCAGTATAGACTCTCTTTCTCTCTATCTCCCCCTGGTGGCTGACTGCAGTATAGACTCTCTCTCTCTCTATCTCCCCCTGGTGGCTGACTGCAGTATAGACTCTCTTTCTCTCTGTCTCCCCCTGGTGGCTGACTGCAGTATAGACTCTCTCTCTCTCTCTATCTCCCCCTGGTGGCTGACTGCAGTATAGACTCTCTCTCTCTATCTCCCCTGGTGGCTGACTGCAGTATAGACTCTCTCTCTCTCTATCTCCCCCTGGTGGCTGACTGCAGTATAGACTCTCTTTCTCTCTGTCTCCCCCTGGTGGCTGACTGCAGTATAGACTCTCTCTCTCTCTATCTCCCCCTGGTGGCTGACTGCAGTATAGACTCTCTTTCTCTCTGTCTCCCCCTGGTGGCTGACTGCAGTATAGACTCTCTCTCTCTCTATCTCCCCCTGGTGGCTGACTGCAGTATAGACTCTCTCTCTCTCTATCTCCCCTGGTGGCCGACTGCAGTATAGACTCTCTCTCTCTCTATCTCCCCCTGGTGGCCGACTGCAGTATAGACTCTCTTTCTCTCTATCTCCCCTGGTGGCTGACTGCAGTATAGACTCTCTCTCTCTATCTCCCCCTGGTGGCTGACTGCAGTATAGACTCTCTCTCTATCTCCCCCTGGTGGCTGACTGCAGTATAGACTCTCTCTCTGTCTCCCCCTGGTGGCTGACTGCAGTATAGACTCTCTCTCTGTCTCCCCCTGGTGGCTGACTGCAGTATAGACCCTCTCTCTATCTCCCCCCTGGTGGCTGACTGCAGTATAGACTCTCTCTCTCTATCTCCCCCTGGTGGCTGACTGCAGTATAGACTCTCTCTCTGTCTCCCCCTGGTGGCTGACTGCAGTATAGACTCTCTCTCTATTTTAGGAAGTTGTTATCTCGCTGATGTTTGTTAATTGTTATCACTTTAGTTTTAATTTGTTATCTGAAGATATAAATGATTGACAGCTTGGCCCTGCTTGGCGTGATATCAATCAATCGATCAATACTGCACAGACTCTAAAGATATAGTTACTCTAGATGGCATTACCTTGGCCTCTAGCACCACTGTCAGGAATCTTGGAGTTATCTTTGATCAGGATTTGTCATTTAACTCCCACATAAAGCAGACCTCTAGGACTGCCTCCTTTCATTTACGTATTACAAAAATTAGACACATCCTATCACAGACAGATGCAGAAAAACTAATCCATGCATTTGTTACTTCAAGGCTGGATTACTGCAACTCTTTATTATCAGGTTGCCCCAATAAGTCCATTAAAACGCTCCAATTAATTCAGAACGCTGCAGCACCAGTCTGAAGGACTAGGAGCCAGAGATCACATCTCTCCTGTACTAGCTTCTTTGCATTGGCTCCCTATAAATGTCAGTTTAACCTTACCTATAAAGCTCTCATCTCCTGTGGAACCTCTAGCCGTTCTTTGGGCTAGTTGTGGTTAATTAAAAGGAACAGGAGGCAGAGCCTTCAGTTACCAAGCTCCTCTCCTGTGGAACCAGCTTCCAGTTGTGGTTCAGGAGGCAGACACCCTCACCACATTCAAGAGTAGGCTTAAGACATTCCTCTTTGATAAAGCTTATAGTTAGGGCTGGATTAGGTGAGTCCTGAACCATCCCTTAGTTATGCTGCTATAGGCCAAGACTATCGGGGGATTTCCCATGATGCCCTGAGCTCCTCCCTTCCTCTCTCTTTCTGCACTCATTCATGTTCCCATTAATGCATGTTACTAACTTCACTTCTTCCCCGGAGTTCTTGTGCTTTCTCGTCTCGCAGGTTCTTATCGATCCTGGTGGAGCCTCCTGCCATGGTCCTGCTAGATTGCCATTGCCAATACTGTTGTTGCTGTGAACCTGTCTCTCTCTCTCTCTCTCTCTCTGTCTCTCTCTCTCTCTCTCTCTCTCTCTCTCTCTCTCTCTCTCCCCAACTGGTCGAGACAGACGACCACCCACCTAGAGCCGAAGGATCTGTCCTAGGTTTCTGCCTTTTAACAGGCAGTTTTTCCTTGCCCTTGTCTCCAAGTGGAGACGTTGGCCATCTTACATGAGGATGGTCCAATGTATGAAGTTACGTTCATTGTTGTGTTTACTGTCAGATTCTAGACTCTAATTCACCTCCTGCAGTATCTTCAACCCTTCAGCGCCCCCCTGTGGAGGCTTTAGTCCTGCTGAGTGTCTGTTAAAGACCAGATCTTGTACTGTCACCAGGGTCAAACTGAGTCCTGAATGAGGCTCCAGTACCTGCCAGTTCAGGACCTGCCGGTTCAGGACCTGCCGGTTCAGGACCTGATACTCTGTAGTGAACAGAATGTTTCTTACCTTGAGGACGGCTGAGTGATGGACGGCAGAATCAGCAGCAGCAGCAGAAGAAGAGTAGACGATGGTTAAACACAGAAACAAACATGTTTATTATTATTGATCTTTATCAGCTGATCACTCCTTCATCACTGTTTTCATTACTTCACCATTAGTTTGTGACAGTAACTCTTCATGGTAACAGAGGGACTGCTACACATTATATATATTATATTAAATATAATTTTATGTAAATATTATATATAACATATAATTTTATATCATATATAATATATATATTATAAATTAAAATAATTATTAAATATAATTTAGTATTAAATATATATATTATAATAAATATAAATAAATAAAATAAATAAATAAAATATAATATATAGTATATATAATATAATTTAATATAATATATATAATATAAAGTATATATATTATATATTATTATTACTATATTATAGACATATTAGGTGAATCTTTACCTTTGCTGCTCTTCAGTATTTGTTTGGTCGGCTCTGACAGAGAAGAAAACAAACAATATCAACAGAATATATTGATAAAGAAAGCAACAGATAAACAGGAAGTAGTTCCTGTTGTTTATGTTTGTGTTTACCGGACTGTCGTCGTCCCTGACGAGCGTCTTGTGGAAACTCATCAGACTGACAGGAAAGAGCTTTCTTCAGCCGCTCAGGGCTGTACCGATACCTGGGAGGATCTACAGGTGGAAAAACAACAAGAAAAACAACAACAAACAATGTAAACAACAACAAGAAAAACAACCACAATAAACAATGTAAACAACAACATGAAAAACAGCAACAAACAATGTAAACAACAACAAACGATGTAAACAGCAACAAGAAAAACAACAACAAACAATGTAAACAACAACATGAAAACAACAACAATGTAAACAACAACAACGAAGCAACAATATGAAAAACAATGGATCTTTTTCAGTCTGAAAACTACAATCAGAGTAGATCAGTATTAATGAATGATGTATTAATTATTAATAATTAATTAATTATGTTTAAATCCACGTTGTGATAACAACAAACGTTTGTTTGTTTCTCTTTGTTGTCTTCTAACAACAAACATTAAACATTTACTTACAAATAGGATTCATTTCCAAGATGGCGTCTTTAGCCTGAAACCAGCAAAACAACAGACATCAAACACTCCGATACTGGTGTGTACACTGGTCATACTGGAAATACTAGTAATACTGGTAGTACTGGTTATACTGGTTATATTGGTTATAATACTGGTTATAATACTGGTTATATTGGTTATAATACTGGTTATAATACTGGTTATAATACTGGTTATATTGGTTACAATACTGGTTATACTGGCTATAATACTGGTTATATTGGTTAAAATACTGGTTATACTGGTTATATTACTGGTTATATTGGTTATACTGGTTACAATACTGGTTATACTGGTTATAATACTGGTTATACTGGTTATAATACTGGTTAAACTGGTTGATATACTGGTTATATTGGTTATACTGGTTATAATACTGGTTATATTGGTTATATTGGTTATACTGGTTATAATACTGGTTATATTGGTTATGCTGGTTATAATACTGGTTAAACTGGTTGTTATACTGGTTATAATACTGGTTATATTGGTTATACTGGTTATAATACTGGTAATACTGGTTGTTATACTGGTTATAATACTGGTTATATTGGTTATACTGGTTAAAATACTGGTTATAATACTGGTTATAATACTGGTTATAATACTGGTTATACTGTTGTAATGCTGGTTATAATGCTGGTTATACTGCTGGTTATACTGGTTATATTGGTTATATTGGTTGTACTGGTTAGAATACTGGTTATACTGGTGTCTGACCTTCTGTGGGATGATGGCATGGTGGTTTTCCAGAATGATGCGTTTAATGTGATGAGCCCACAGCTTCTTCTCCTCAACCGTCTTTGCCTGACAACAATAAAACATTTCATCAGCACAGATTCAATGTGATCATCACCAGCAGGAGCAGGAGCTGGAGCTGGAGCAGGAGCAGAAGGAAGGAGGAGGAGGAGGATCAGGAGCAGGGGCAGGAGCAGGAGCAGGAGCAGGAGCAGGAGCAGGAGCAGGAGGAGCAGGAGCAGGAGCAGGAGCAGGAGCAGGAGGAGCAGGAGCAGGAGCAGGAGCAGAAGGGAGGAGCAGGAGGAGGCGGTCTCACCTGGACGGTGTGAGGCTGTTTGGGATGTTTGTAGTGAGTAACGCTGAAGCTCAGAGAATCTTTGGCGCTTTCAATCAGCATGAGAGTGGAACACTGAAACCACAGTTCATCAATAATTCAGTGATAACACATCAGAGGGATTATTGGAAGGAAACATATTTGTTTTGTTTATTATTTTTCTTCCCCAGATTCTTTTAGAGAATAATTTCTATCAATAATCTGCGTGTATCTAACATTTATTGATTATTAGCTCATTGTTAACCTGCTAATAACTTCTAATAAAGAACTGCACAATGTCATTTAAATAAATTTCAAAAACCAAATAAATTCAAGTAAAAAACAAAGTTATTGATTATGATTAATATGATTGACACTTTTGTTTTCTGTGGAAATCATTAAGCTCTAGAGCAGGTTCTGAATGCCACTAAAACATTTCCATTTAACTCTTCTCACAGATATGTGCGTCTTGTAGACAAAGTGTTCCCCGCGGCGTTTGGTGATGAGCAGCATGCGGTCGAACAGGAACAGCGTTCTCTCGTTTTTAGCTCGATGAACTTTGAAGGTTCCCTCCAGAACCAGTTCTCCGTACGTGGTGAGGTCCGGACCTTTCCAGTTCAGCAGCAAAGACTGAACCTCCTGCAGGACAAATCGAACAAACAGACCCCGCTGTTAGCTGGCTGTTAGCCTAGCCTGAAACACTTTGCTAACATTCGCTAACTTAAGATGTGACTATATATATATGTCTCTTATCTTTTCCACATAGATTAGCCTAGCTCATAGCATATCTAAGCACAGGAAAGGAGGAAGTTGACTGAGGCTCAGCTGTTAGCAGAAGGCTGTAGAAAGTACCTTTCCCTCTGAGCTGCAGTACAAAGTGATGAAGTACCTGCAGTCTGACGGCGTGCTCGTGTTTCCTCTTCATGTCGTTGATGTACCAAGCGACTCCCGTCATGGTGTAGATGGCCTCCTCCACCACCTCGTAACCCTCCTCCTCCGGGTCAAAGTGCTTCGCTATCTCCTGCACAAAACCATCTTCACCATCATCATCATCATCACCACCATCATCATCATCACCATCACCACGATCATCATCATCATCATCACCACCATCATCATCATCATCATCATCATCATCATCATCATCATCATCATCATCATCATCATCATCATCATCATCCCCTCAGTTTAGTGATGCTCTATGTTCTGTCTGCTCTCTAAATGTCTTTATAAACATTCTTTTATTAAGTTTTGTTAAAATATTTGATTTGTTATTTTCACTCAGTAACTAGTTAACAGTTTGCTAATTACCTGAACTTTACTAGGAGACTAATAACCAAAAGAACCGTCTACTAAGTAGTTAAAACCTACCAGGTAACAATAATAATAGTAATCTGTTAGCACAGTCCCCATAAGGAGGGGATAGTAAGAACATGGACCTTCAGGTAGAGCAGTTGACATGGACTGACATCACTGCCCTGTTTCCCAGCATGCACTCTCGTCAACGCTTCAGACTGATGAACTCTTATCACGCTCAGTCCAGTGGGCAGTGAGGGCACTCAGGTGTGTCGTACCTGGAGCAGCAGGTGGTATTTGAGGATCCTCTGAACCGGTTTGAGAAGGTATGAACCCAAGGGCAGCGAACGCTTCAACAACGCCTGGCGCTCCCGAAAGAACTTTGCCAGAGATTTATTCCTCATGCACTCTGTCAGCGCTGCAACCGAACTGCAACGAGGAGGCAAAATACACAGGTGTGAACAGGTAGAAACAAGTGTTACTGCAGTGTGTTACAGTGACAGTGTTACTGCAGTGTGTTACAGTGACAGTGTTACTGCAGTGTGTTACAGTGACAGTCAGTGTTACTGCAGTGTGTTACAGTGACAGTGTTACTGCAGTGTGTTACAGTGACAGTCAGTGTTACTGCAGTGTGTTACAGTGACAGTCAGTGTTACTGCAGTGTGTTACAGTGACAGTCAGTGTTACTGCAGTGTGTTACAGTGACAGTGTTACTGCAGTGTGTTACAGTGACAGTGTTACTGCAGTGGGGGTGTTACTGCAGTGTGTTACAGTGACAGTGTTACTGCAGTGTGTTACAGTGACAGTGTTACTGCAGTGTGTTACAGTGACAGTGTTACTGCAGTGTGTTACAGTGACAGTCAGTGTTACTGCAGTGTGTTACAGTGACAGTCAGTGTTACTGCAGTGTGTTACAGTGACAGTGTTACTGCAGTGTGTTACAGTGACAGTCAGTGTTACTGCAGTGTGTTACAGTGACAGTGTTACTGCAGTGTGTTACGGTGACAGTCAGTGTTACTGCAGTGTGTTACAGTGACAGTCAGTGTTACTGCAGTGTGTTACAGTGACAGTGTTACTGCAGTGTGTTACAGTGACAGTCAGTGTTACTGCAGTGTGTTACAGTGACAGTGTTACTGCAGTGTGTTACAGTGACAGTCAGTGTTACTGCAGTGTGTTACAGTGACAGTCAGTGTTACTGCAGTGTGTTACAGTGACAGTGTTACTGCAGTGTGTTACAGTGACAGTGTTACTGCAGCGTGTTACAGTGACAGTGTTACTGCAGTGTGTTACAGTGACAGTGTTACTGCAGTGTGTTACGGTGACAGTCAGTGTTACTGCAGTGTGTTACGGTGACAGTGTTACTGCAGTGTGTTACGGTGACAGTGTTACTGCAGTGTGTTACAGTGACAGTCAGTGTTACTGCAGTGTGTTACAGTGACAGTGTTACTGCAGTGTGTTACAGTGACAGTGTTACTGCAGTGTGTTACGGTGACAGTGTGTGTTACGGTGACAGTCAGTGTTACTGCAGTGTGTTACGGTGACAGTCAGTGTTACTGCAGTGTGTTACGGTGACAGTCAGTGTTACTGCAGTGTGTTACGGTGACAGTGTTACTGCAGTGTGTTACAGTGACAGTCAGTGTTACTGCAGTGTGTTACGGTGACAGTGTTACTGCAGTGTGTTATAGTGACAGTGTTACTGCAGTGTGTTACAGTGACAGTGTTACTGCAGTGTGTTACAGTGACAGTCAGTGTTACTGCAGTGTGTTACAGTGACAGTGTTACTGCAGTGTGTTACAGTGACAGTGTTACTGCAGTGTGTTACGGTGACAGTGTTACTGCAGTGTGTTACGGTGACAGTCAGTGTTACTGCAGTGTGTTACGGTGACAGTCAGTGTTACTGCAGTGTGTTACGGTGACAGTGTGTTACTGCAGTGTGTTACTTTAAGTGACAGTGTTACTGCAGTGTGTTACAGTGACAGTGTTACTGCAGTGTGTTACAGTGACAGTGTTACTGCAGTGTGTTACAGTGACAGTCAGTGTTACTGCAGTGTGTTACAGTGACAGTGTTACTGCAGTGTGTTATAGTGACAGTCAGTGTTACTGCAGTGTGTTACGGTGACAGTGTTACTGCAGTGTGTTACGGTGACAGTGTTACTGCAGTGTGTTATAGTGACAGTCAGTGTTACTGCAGTGTGTTACAGTGACAGTGTTACTGCAGTGTGTTACGGTGACAGTGTTACTGCAGTGTGTTACGGTGACAGTGTTACTGCAGTGTGTTACGGTGACAGTCAGTGTTACTGCAGTGTGTTATAGTGACAGTGTTACTGCAGTGTGTTACAGTGACAGTGTTACTGCAGTGTGTTACAGTGACAGTCAGTGTTACTGCAGTGTGTTACAGTGACAGTGTTACTGCAGTGTGTTACGGTGACAGTGTTACTGCAGTGTGTTACGGTGACAGTGTTACTGCAGTGTGTTACGGTGACAGTCAGTGTTACTGCAGTGTGTTACGGTGACAGTCAGTGTTACTGCAGTGTGTTACAGTGACAGTGTTACTGCAGTGTGTTACAGTGACACTGTTACTGCAGTGTGTTACAGTGACACTGTTACTGCAGTGTGTTACAGTGACAGTCAGTGTTACTGCAGTGTGTTACAGTGACAGTCAGTGTTACTGCAGTGTGTTACGGTGACAGTGTTACTGCAGTGTGTTACAGTGACAGTGTTACTGCAGTGTGTTACAGTGACAGTGTCAGTACTTACTTTGGGTAGTTGGTGCAGTACTGTGTGTAGATCTCAAAGTACTCGCTCTGAAACACAAAAACATCAATAATTAAGAAAAATGAATATGATGTTGGGAATTCATTTTTATTTTGATTATTAAATTCAGATTAACGAGGTTTTTATCACCTTCATAACGAAGCACCTGGCGACGGCGACGGGGTCGTTGTCACACAGGTCGAGAGCCTGAAGCAGCTCGCTGGAAGAGCGGGAAACACGTTACCATGACGATGACGACGACAACAACAACAACAACAACAACAACATCATCAATAACACATGCAGGCTGCACACCATTCTGTTCTGGAGCTTTTGACCACCTCACACTGTCTTCCTCAGCAGACGGAGTTACAGTATAAAAATATAATAATAATGATATATTATTATTATATTAATCATAATGGTATATCATTATTATTATTATTATTATATAATAATAATCAGAAGCTGTGGAACAGAGTTGACTGCAGTTGAGTTTTCAACTGAAGGAACTGTGGATTAATTAATCAATTAATTAACCAGCAGGTCTTTTTTTCTTCTGTTAAAGTGTAAATAAAGTTTCTGGAGATAAATCATATGAATATTTCTGAATGAATCGAATGATATCAATTACTATTGATTATCAATTACTATTGATTATTAATGATTATTAATGAATTCACCTGTTGAACTCATAGATGTCCTCAATGTTTCCAAACAGAGAGCAGACCTGCTCAGGACGGATCGATAAATCACACTGATCGATTATATGAGCCAGATAATCCTGGAGGAGGAGGTGGAGGAGAGGAGAGAAGAGAGGAGAGGAGAGGAAGAGGAAGAGGAAGAGGAGGAGAGAGGAGAGGAGAGGAAAGGAGGAAGAGGAAGAGGAGGAGGAGGAGAGAAGGAAGAGGAAGAGGAGGAGAGAGGAGAGGAGGAAGAGGAAGAGGAGGAGTAGAGGAGGAGGAGAGAAGGAAGAGGAAGAGGAGGAGGAGGAGAGAGGAGAGGAGAGGAAAGGAGGAAGAGGAAGAGGAGGAGGAGGAGAGAAGGAAGAGGAAGAGGAGGAGAGGGGAGAGGAGGAAGAGGAAGAGGAAGAGGAAGAGGAAGAGGAAGAGGAAGAGGAGGAGGAGGAGTAGAGGAGGAGGAGAGAAGGAAGAGGAAGAGGAGGAGGAGGAGGAGGAGGAGAGAGGAGAGGAGGAAGAGGAGAAGAGGAAGAGGAAGAGGAGGAGGAGGAGGAGGAGGAGGAGAGGTGAGGGGAGGAGGAGGAGGAGGAGGAGGAAGGCGAGAGGCGAGGAGAGGAGAGGGGAGGAGAGGACAGGAGGAAGAGGAAGAGGAGGAGAGGAGAAGGAGGAGGAGGAGGAGGAGGAGGAGGAGGAGGAGAGGAGAGGAGAGGAGGAGGAAGAGAGAGGAAAGGAAAGGAGAGGAGAGAAGAGGAGGAAGAGGAGGAAGAGGAGGAGAGAAGAGGAGGAAGAGGAGGAGAGGAGGAAAAATGCACTTTATTATCACATCCAATGTTCAAAATAACATATAAACTGAAATATATATTTTTGTCAACCAATTACGTCTGTCAGTATGAATCTTATCAAATATTAAAGTTATTAATACAGTTATTAATACAGTTAATAATAAAGTTATTAATAAAGTTATTAATATAGTTATTCATAAAGTTATTAATACAGTTATTAATAAAGTTATTAATAAAGCTATTAATACAGTTATTAATAGAGTTATTAATAGAGTTATTAATAAAGTTAATAATAAAGTTATTAATGGAGTTATTCATAAAGTTATTAATACAGTTATTAATACAGTTATTAATACAGTTAATAATAAAGTTATTAATAAAGTTATTAATATAGTTATTCATAAAGTTATTAATACAGTTATTAATAAAGTTATTAATAAAGCTATTAATACAGTTATTAATAGAGTTATTAATACAGTTATTAATAAAGTTAATAATACAGTTATTAATAAAGTTAATAATAAAGTTATTAATACAGTTATTAATAACGTTTCTCTCGCTGTAATGCCTCCGTCGGTCCAGCAGGAGGCAGACTGACGTCACTATGATGGAACTGACAGTAATTTGATCAATAATCAATAATCAATAGTCAATCACAGTGATCTGATCTCCTTTCCTTTGATTAATTGACACTTTGTACATTACATTCACATGGACTGATTATTGATTATTCATCTCAGTTCTTTAATAATTCCTCTTATTGAATCTTATTTATGTTTTTATTTACTAATATTATAAAAACTGAATCATAAATATTGTTATGTTTTAATTTGGAAATATGAAATCTGGTTTTGTTTACATGATTAATTGATTTTACAGTTTATGTGTCGACATTCAGTCATTTGCTTTAAATATTGATCAGATAATCGATCAGAAATCTCTCAGTGTTACAGTGAATTATTATTGTCGTTATTAGTGATCAATGATTTAAAGGGTCTGCAGGTTCAGATCTTCACTCAGGGTTCTGGTTTTTCTGTTACTCTGTTACATAAGAGTTTAATCCGTCTTAAGCAGTTAATTATAGAGCGTGACGGCGGTTGCGGTGACGGTGACGGTGTTATTCAGAGACCGTCCTCTGTCCCGAAGTCATCAAATGTTACTGAGACAGGAAGTGAAGCTCTTTCACTGTAAACTTGTTAACGAGCTCGTTAAAGTGATAATCACTGATAATAATCACTGATTATAGATAATAATCACTGATAATAATCACTGATAATAATTACTGATAATAATCACTGATAATAATTACTGATAATAATCACTGATAATAGATAATAATCACTGATAATAATCACTGATAATAATCACTGATAATAGATAATAATCACTGATAATAGATAATAATCACTGATAATAGATAATAATCACTGATAATAATCACTGATAATAATTACTGATAATAATCACTGATAATAATCACTGATAATAGATAATAATCACTTATAATAATCACTGATAATAATCACTGATAATAATCACTGATTATAGATAATAATCACTGATAATAATCACTGATAATAATCACTGATAATAATCACTGATTATAGATAATAATCACTGATAATAATCACTGATAATAATCACTGATAATAGATAATAATCAGTGATAATAATCACTGATAATAATCACTGATAATAATCACTGATAATAATCACTGATAATAGATAATAATCACTGATAATAGATAATAATCACTGATAATAATCACTGATAATAATCACTGATAATAATTACTGATAATAATCACTGATAATAATCACTGATAATAGATAATAATCACTTATAATAATCACTGATAATAATCACTGATAATAATCACTGATTATAGATAATAATCACTGATAATAATCACTGATAATAATCACTGATAATAGATAATAATCACTTATAATAATCACTGATAATAATCACTGATAATAATCACTGATTATAGATAATAATCACTGATAATAATCACTGATAATAATCACTGATAATAATCACTGATTATAGATAATAATCACTGATAATAATCACTGATAATAATCACTGATAATAGATAATAATCACTGATAATAATCACTGATAATAATCACTGATAATAATCACTGATAATAATCACTGATAATAATCAGTGATAATAATCACTGATAATAATCACTGATAATAATCACTGATAATAATCAGTGATAATAATTACTGATAATAGTGAGAATTTGTGATAATCTGTGATAATTACTGTGTACTCTGTATCTAATGATGTGGATTTCTCAGAGGCTTTTATGTTGAAGGGTTTGAATGTTTTTGTATTATTAACCTATTTTCATATCATTTATTCAAATGATATATTTTTATGGAAATGAAAAAGTTCTGTTCTGTGTTTAGCGGTTAGCTTCACATAGCAAATTTTTTTGCTGTATAATATATATAATATATATATATATAAATTTAATATAATATATATATAATATATAATATATATATATATATATATAATATATATATATATATAATATATATAATATATATATATATAATATATATAATATATATATATATATATATATATATATATATATATATATAATATATATTATATAATTTGATCCTCCAGACGAATCAGAGCTGGATTAGCTAATACTAATGCTAACAGAACATTTCCTGCGTGTGAATTCAAACAATAATAATTTAATATTTATAAATGTAAACATTATATATTTTACTAGTTAATAAACGTTATTATCGTTAACGTTTGAACTCACCTCTACGATCATGCGAAGGTCTCTGACGTACATCCTCTCCGTCTCGATGATCTCCATGACAACGCGGTCCAGGTAGGTCAGCTGAGGGTTCGGCGCCATGCTTCTGGCTGTGAACGGTGACGTCTGCTGGCGGCGGCTGGAGGCTCGACTCGGCGCGGACTCTTTGTTGTTGTTGTTGTTGTGTATGAGGCCGAGGCCCCGCCCCCTCTCGTCGACCTCGCCCTCACCGGCGCCCCCTGCAGGGCTCAGGTCCAGGTCGATGTCGGGGATTTGGGCGGACGCCGGAGGGACGAGGTTGTCGTCTCGGGAGGATGCAGAGCCCGAGGACAGTGTGGAGATCAGGCTCACCGGGCGGTGGTCGGAGGAGTCGGAGGGCGTGGCCGACGGAGCGCGTTCATTACTGCTGATGGAGGTGGAGGACAGGCGGGGGGAGTCTGAGGAGAGAGGGGGGGTTGGGTTGATTGATAGGTCTGATCAGCATGATATGTAACGTTCATTAAACTGTAGCTAACAGCGCCACCAGTGGTCGCTCAGTGAACTGCAGTCAGCGTCCTGTTGCATCATCCTGGGCGTCGGCCAACAGTGACAAACACTGAACGCTGTAAAATAACTGACGATCATATTTAACCTGTCAACGGCAGCCAGATGAGCCCGGGAGGCTGGATGAAGCTAACTGACAGTATTTTGCTACGTTAGCTTACTAGCAATTCATCTGTGTTACCAATCAAGCTAACGTTATCCAGCTAACAGCACAATCAGACAATGAGTTCCACTAGCTTAGCATTAATGTTAGCTTTGACTTTGGACTCTGTGTTGTGGACTCTGTGTTGTGGACTCTGTGTTGTGGACTCTGTGTTGTGGACTCTGTGTTGTGGACTCTGTGTTGTGGACTCTGTGTTGGACTCTGTGTTGGACTCTGTGTTGTGGACTCTGTGTTGTGGACTCTGTGTTGGACTCTGTGTTGTGGACTCTGTGTTGGACTCTGTGTTGGACTCTGTGTTGTGGACTCTGTGTTGGACTCTGTGTTGGACTCTGTGTTGGACTCTGTGTTGTGGACTCTGTGTTGGACTCTGTGTTGTGGACTCTGTGTTGGACTCTGTGTTGTGGACTCTGTGTTGTGGACTCTGTGTTGTGGACTCTGTGTTGTGGACTCTGTGTTGTGGACTCTGTGTTGGACTCTGTGTTGTGGACTCTGTGTTGGACTCTGTGTTGGACTCTGTGTTGTGGACTCTGTGTTGGACTCTGTGTTGGACTCTGTGTTGTGGACTCTGTGTTGGACTCTGTGTTGGACTCTGTGTTGTGGACTCTGTGTTGTGGACTCTGTGTTGTGGACTCTGTGTTGGACTCTGTGTTGGACTCTGTGTTGGACTCTGTGTTGGACTCTGTGTTATGGACTCTGTGTTGGACTCTGTGTTGGACTCTGTGTTGGACTCTGTGTTGTGGACTCTGTGTTGGACTCTGTGTTGTGGACTCTGTGTTGGACTCTGTGTTGTGGACTCTGTGTTGGACTCTGTGTTGTGGACTCTGTGTTGGACTCTGTGTTGTGGACTCTGTGTTGGACTCTGTGTTGTGGACTCTGTGTTGGACTCTGTGTTGGACTCTGTGTTGGACTCTGTGTTGTGGACTCTGTGTTGGACTCTGTGTTGTGGACTCTGTGTTGGACTCTGTGTTGTGGACTCTGTGTTGTGGACTCTGTGTTGGACTCTGTGTTGTGGACTCTGTGTTGGACTCTGTGTTGTGGACTCTGTGTTGTGGACTCTGTGTTGTGGACTCTGTGTTGTGGACTCTGTGTTGGACTCTGTGTTGTGGACTCTGTGTTGGACTCTGTGTTGGACTCTGTGTTGTGGACTCTGTGTTGGACTCTGTGTTGGACTCTGTGTTGTGGACTCTGTGTTGGACTCTGTGTTGTGGACTCTGTGTTGTGGACTCTGTGTTGTGGACTCTGTGTTGGACTCTGTGTTGGACTCTGTGTTGGACTCTGTGTTATGGACTCTGTGTTATGGACTCTGTGTTGGACTCTGTGTTGGACTCTGTGTTGGACTCTGTGTTGTGGACTCTGTGTTGGACTCTGTGTTGTGGACTCTGTGTTGGACTCTGTGTTGTGGACTCTGTGTTGGACTCTGTGTTGTGGACTCTGTGTTGGACTCTGTGTTGTGGACTCTGTGTTGGACTCTGTGTTGTGGACTCTGTGACGGCCAGCAGAGGGAGCTCCACTGGCTGCAATATTAACTGATCCCATTCACTCTAATGGAGAATGAGCTCAGTGAACAGTTTCCTGATGAGTTTCTGGTCTCAGTCTCTAGTTTCAGTCTTCTTCCATACAGCATGATGTTCATTTAGTAACTGATGGTCCCATTTAGAGTAAAACAGACCATAAAGCAGGGTATGCTTTAGGGCGGGGCTACCTTGTGATTGACAGCTCATTCTCAGTGAGTCCGTCCAGCTCAACCAAACTCAGATCAAACAGTCAAACAGTGCTGATCAGATATGGATCCAGATTCTGTTGTTGACTATTTCTCTCCTCACATCTGTTCACAAACATATTTTACTGTTTATCTGGAATACCAGATCCTGTGTGAGCAGGAGAGCCGCCATTGTTTCCAAACCAAGAGCAGCCAATGAGAGCAGAGAAACCTGCTGTACGTGACCTCCGCTGGCTGCGATTTACTGTCATGGCGACGGCCAAAACGCTGAATTTGAGACTTCAGAGCGGTTCTCCACAAACCGATGTGTGATGATGGGTTCACAGTTGGTTAAAACCCGTTCAGTCAATGCAGTGAGGGCGGACTTTCACAATAAGACTTTAAGGAGTTTGTTTTTTGTTCCTGAACACAGTCTGATGCAGATGTGATGTAACGGCGCTGTTAACAGATTGATGGCGGCGTGACTCAAACTGATGACTGTTCCTGTCAGGTTCAGTTGTCTCAGTGAATCATCCATCTGTAAACATCTGGAGTGGTTCAAGTTATTTTTATCTGTTGAACTGAGGAATTTAAAGAATCCAGCAGCACAGGTTTAACTGCTTAAACAGCAGAGAAGTTTCATTTAAATGATTACACATTATTATTAATCACTGTCCAACCAGCCAATCACATCCCAGCAACCGGTTCCCTCCACCCAAATCAATCAGTTTGTTCACACTGATCAGAACACTGATTGATCTGTGATTTGCTGCGATTAGATTCATTCACAGTGTGTTGTTTCTGGGATTCTCTTGTGATTTATGTATTCACACAGCGGCCATCTTGAGTGTTCATGGTGGGAGACTCAGTGGAGAAATGTCGTAAATAAATATATACAGTATATAAAACTAATACGTTTTCATATTTCAATGTATTAAGTCTTAAGAAGTTGAACAATAAATGGTTATTATGTTCATTTTAATTGTGTAATGTTAATTTTTAGGAAGTTTACTAGTTTGTAAACCACATTTTATGGACAACTTAAGGTTACAAATATGTATCATGGCTTCATATTAAAGTCATTTTATTAATTTAATAGATTTAAAAACACAACTGTTTCCCAAATTGCTGCACAAAACATTTAATATAGTAACGTACCGGCGCTAGGACCCGAACGCTGTTTAGCGTTGGCGTGGGGACCCGAACAATTTCCGGCTTGACGCACTTTCCGGTCTTTTTACAGAGTCTATATGTGGTTTTTCATACATATAAATCAACATTTACATGTCTAATTATTATATGAAAGTTACTTTAATGAAGGAAAGCTGCAAGAACGCTTCGATTGCGCTCGGGCGACAATTTCAGGCAACTTTTAAAGTCCGTCTCTATTTTTACTGAACAGCTGAAATAAGCTCTCATATGCGTACATATCGTAGCTAGGGTTACACTGATTAGTCTAGCTAATGAAAATGTCAGATCTTGTGTTTATACAATCTGTGGTCGAGGTGAACAGGAGGAGGAGAACAAAGGAACAGAACAAGCGCAGTGTTCTTTTTATCTGAGAAGTAT